GGCGTACATGACGATTCCGGCGAACCCGTAGGGTGGGGCGACAAGGCATTGGGATTCGCCGACACCGTAGCCCATGCCGAGCCTGAGGATGATAGGGAGGAAGTATGAAATGGCGTAAGTGACGGTGGTGATAGAGCTGGGATGCAGTTAGCGGGGATTGGGTCTGGTTGGAAAGTCAACGTACAAGAAGATCATGCCAAAGGCCCAGATCTTAAGATCCAATGCAGGTTTTAGGAACTTGCTAAGAGAGAAGGCTTCCAAATCGCCATCATTTCGGTCTTTATTAATGCGACGGACGATGAATGCGCATTCTCTCTCGTTAAGGAAGCGCCAGGACTTGTGTGCGCGGTCAGGGAAGTCAACGAGGAAGAAAAAGCACAGGATGCCAACAATGCCCGTAAGCTATGTTTATCGTTAGCTCGGTGGTTCCACTTCAGTTGGACCAAATCTGCATACCACTCCTTCCAGGATGAAAATCCACCTCCAGCCGGACAGCCCTTCCTTGCCGTTCAATTGCATCAAACCAAATGCAAGAATACCTGCTAACGCAGAAGCGACACATCCAATGAGATAGAAAATAGAGAACCGCTTTTGAACATCATCTTTGAAGGGGTCAGCACTGTGCAGTCACTTGTAGGGATATCCTTTGCCCTCTTACATCGAGTATACCAGCAAGATAGCAAGTACACGCAGCCAGGGAAGTAACCAGCCTCCAGCACACCCAAAAGCACACGCGCTCCAACCAATGCGCCCCAGTCCTGGACGAATCCCATTCCCTATGCCAGTCAATAAACTAGAGTCTTAATGTTGAGAAAGTGAGCCTTACAATCATGATACCCGCCCAGCATACAATAATGGAGGACAGGAAATATGTCGGGCCAAGTTTTCGAATAATGATCGTCATCGGCGGCTGGAAGATAATATAGGGCACGAAGAACATCAGGACGGTAATGGACTATTCAGAAGTTAGTTATTCACCTTGGAAATATGATCTATGTGCTTGAACATACATAGCGCTCGCCAATGTCCAATCGCAGTTCTTCTTTCAGCCTATTGTAGGGGTCAGCCCTTGCTGCGCAGGACAGTCCTACATTGCAGCCTTACCCGGCAACAGCAGCCATACTCAGATTCGTCCGGTCCATGAGCGAAATGCAGTAAGCCAGTCCGGTCATAGTCACCAGACGCAGATCAATCCGTCGAAGAATCTTTTTCTTCTCCTGTGGTGTGAACTCCTCCTCCTCCTCCTCGCTGATAGGGCTCTTCCCCCCGATATCCTCGATGCGGTGGTCAAAAGGCGGTTTCTCATCGATGGGGTCCATGGTTCCCATACTGATGTATCCGAGCTGAATTGGAATGTATAATGAAAATAGAAGATGTAGGGAAAAGTAAGAAGAATGAAAATGGGATCTGAAAAGAAGAAATGAATTCAATTGTGTTTGACCAGAAATAGAAGGCAGAGCTGCAGCCTTATCTAGCAAAACGACAGGACTAACAAGGATCCAAAACTATATATTGCAGTATCCAAGGAGCAATAAGCCCCGGAATAAATGTAATCCATTCCTAAACCAGCCATTCAAGATCGACGCTCGCCTATTGCAACCCGCTCAAAATCGCCCGGGAAAATCCCCGAGAAACCAAGACTATCGAGAAGGCAATAGCCGAGAGCAAGGGGAAAGTGCCTCGGGATAACCACAACTACAAGGATACACAGTAATGTCCGAAACAAGTGAGGGGAGGTCACCCCACTTAGCAACCTTTCGGTGGTGGCTGTTTCTGGGGACAATCCGGGGGGCAAAATGGAGTAAATGCGGGGGAATATACTTGGCAACTTGGCAGATGCCCTACGCTTCGATCTTACGGGTTTCTCTTTAGAGACGTCACTTTGTGGGGATGATCTGTTCTATCGAGGTTGCTTGGGGTTTCTCGACTTTGGATCATATTTTGTTAGGAAACCCCCAACCCCTCCTTAGGAAAAAGTAGAATAAGGTCTTTATCTACTTGTCAGCTGGTTCAGTGCCTGGGCAGAGTTTTGGAGTCAGATATTTATGAGGGAACAAGAATAGTTGCCCGCTTATGCGGCCTGATGTCTCGTTAGGGGTTGTTTCGATAGTCTTTTCAGCCGTTTTTCTTTTTGAAAGATCCTTTTCCGTGGGAGATATTTTGGAGAAGTGTGAAAACGACTTTTCTATATCCTGGGAAGTTCAGCCAGACGTCGGAGCTCCAACCGCGATCGGGGACGCCGAAAGTATAAATGGCTGTGTAGAAAAGCCTCTTTAATCCTCTTGCAGAATTCATTGCACACGCAGAATCTAGAAATTTCCCTTCATGTTTCAAGCGGTTGGTAGAATATAACCCCTCACTTGACACTATGTGGTGCATTTGTCTCATAGTAGAATTGTTGCAAGGACACGGAGCCAGAATAGAAAGTCTTGACATCGGAAATTGAATTCCAATTTTTTATACCTCGGTTCACCCTAAGAATTAACGTTAATCCATTCAACGGTAGCTTTCATCCTCGGATTCCTCTGCTTCATCCTCTTCCAAGAGAAGCCTCTCGCGTTCTTCCTCATCCACCCGACCCTGCTCTCTCATCTGTCTCACAGATACGAAAACAAACATCACGAGTGCCGTTCCAACAATGAATCCCGCGATTGCCAAGGCGGCATTGATTGGAATTGGGTTTCCATCAAACGTATGATGTGTCAATGCGTCGAGCCCATACTGAGAAAAGTTGGCGATTCCCGAGAGGCAAATGATGGCACCGTATACGCGCCCAAACGTCGCAAAGCCAAAGACTTTGGTGGTATAATCACTATGGCCAAGATTAGCACGTGGAAGTTACCAGTGAGTGGGAAACGACATACGACATGGCCGAGTAATAGAGAGGCCGGAGTAAGACAAAGAGCAGAACGGTCATATAACCAGCCCAAACTGCCGGAATGGAGTTCAGCACACCGATAACCGTGGTGAAAAGCACAATTACCCCAAGCATGGTTGGAACACTGAGACGATCAAGAAGGTACCCAATTGCAGGTGTGAAGAGAACACCCCCGAGCGGCAGTGCGACGTCGAAAAGGGCACCTATTTTATCGGCCTCGTCGATCGATCCGAGCATGTATTCATACTGCGAGCGAATCGTCGCGATAAAATAGTTCATACGAATCATCTGCAAAACAGTCATCAGTGTAATCAGGATAAACCAGGGCGTAGCCATCTGCCGGTGCGCCGGCAGGCCGTGCATTACACCCCAGACCCAACTCGTCTGCTTGCGATCCTCTTCTCGCTCTGCACGCATCTGTCGCTCATCTCTGTCACCGAGCACCGCATCGATCTGGCGGATCTTCTTCTTTCGCTGCTCTGCTCGCTTCTTCCGCACCCGGTTTAACTCTGACGTACTCTCGATTTCATCGTCAGAATCGTGAACGTCGCGTGTGGCATCTTCGGCCCTTTCTATCTTGTTCTCCAATTGGAGGGTCGAGACATAGTCGCGATCTGGCATGATGGTCACTAGTGCAATAAAAATGCACACAGGGACTATCAGATAGCCCAGAAAGAACTTATCCGGGGTGAAAGACATGCCCGAGGCCTCATATATGAGCCGGTAGAAGAGGAAGACAGCAGCAGAGGCATCGAATGCACCAGTCACCAGCGCGACGATCGACCCCGCATATTTGGGGAAAGCATTCGCGATCTGGAATGAGGGAACAAATAAAAAAGTGCCAGCCAGAGCGAGGAAGAAATTACCCGCGATATAGCCGTCGAAACCGGGTTCGTGGAATGCAAAGGCCATGATAACACCGCCGATAGCAAGCAGCAAGCAAGCGATGAACCAGCAGACGCGTGATCCACATCGATCCAAAATTGTCCCAACGGGAAGAGCGGAGACATTGGCTGTTATCGAAGCAATGGTGAAGAACAGGTTGAGTCTAGCGGTGGTTAGTGACAATCACAACTCGATGTGGTCTGTGCAACAAACATACCTAAGATCCTGCTGTGCGCACAGCTCAAGTCCTTCATCTATTTCGGCAGGCGTGCAACGCTCGTGATAAACACCTTCCTCGATGAGAACAGGCTTGAGCGCCGCGAAGCCAAACACGATCCCCGACGCGCTCCAGCACGCGAGAACAGTGATGACGACCTGAGCTGGATGGTGTCAGCAGTTTGCAGCTTGTCTTACCTTGGGCTGAATAGTACGTACCTATTCGCTTTGCCGGAGAATGTTTGTACGCTGGTGTTCCAGGAAGCAATTCTGCGACCGGGGTAGCCTCACTCGGGGGTTGGAGGACATCGTAGCTGATTTTTCGGCGAATAGGCGCGAAGTCGAAATCGTCAACTAGGTCTGGTTCGGGTTCGCGATCAACGCCGTCAATGGCAGAGACATGCTGCACCAAGGACATTCTGTGTTGAACAGAGTTATGGAGGGGAAGATCTTATCGTGCAAAAACTTAGTTTTTCCCGGTTTTATGCAAGGCAGCTTTTATGTATTTACACATGCGTCTGGAATGTTCGATGACTCGCTTTAATCTTATTTACCTGTTTTTTACATCTGAATAGCTACTGTGATTTCTATGCTTAAAACTTGGCAGCTTGGAGCTATGAAAGCTATGTATGGCACCTGACATGCCTTATTTTTCCCCTAGGCTTGAAATGTATTAGAACAATATCCATAAGCTCGTTAAACTGTGAAGAAAGGGATATTAATAGTAAAACCACAGCTATTTGCCTCTGATTCGCCTAGTTTCACCTAAATTGCCAGGCTCCACTTTGTATCCAATGACAGTTAATCTACCTGAAAAGGCGTCCTGTGAGTGAAATCAAGGACATACATCCATGTAGGTACATAATGGGGGTGTGATATATATAGCTACGGATTGGTTGTCATCCATATACTGTTAAACATTTTCAAATACATTGTATGCCTAACGCTAACATTCTAATATTTTGAGTAGAAAAGTCTTGAGAATGGTATACATCTGAACACCCCTATGCTATAGTCCTGCTCAAGCTGCCGCGACAGACGATTTCTCCTTCTTGATTGACTTCCATTCCATCGTCAACGCGGGGACAATCATCAGACAAGACACCGCCACGGTGACAATCAACGACCGCCGGAGGCCATCATTGTATAAAATCAAAACCTCGGCCAGCTTGGTAGTCGGAACGGAATTCGAGAGACCCGTTGCCCCAGTCGCCAGGACTTTGTCCACATCAATTCCCTGGATGTGGGGTAGGTTTGCGCCGAGGTAATTCTGGAAGAGCGACTGAGCAACCGCAATAAAGACAGCTCCACCGAGAGACTGCGCAAAGAACATGAGCGAGACACCGATGGCGACCTCATCCATACGGAGAACAGTCTGGGCTGCCATGGAGGGTTGCTGCATTCCCGTGCCGATACCGATACCAAACAATACCTGGTACCCGATCCAGGCGGCATGGTTGGTGTCCACCTTGAAGGTTGTCATCAGGCCAGCGCCCGTCGACATGAAAATCGATGCAACGAACATCCACGGAACATAGTATCCCGTTGCGGTGATTATTCCTCCCGAGATGATGGCTCCCAAAACAAGCGCCAGCACCATGGGGATCGTGTCGATGCCGGATTTCACAGCCGATGTGTCTCGCACGCCCTGGAACCAGAGTGGGAGCGTGTACAGCATAGAGATTAGCCCTCCACCCACACATAGGGAAAAGACGACACCACTGGTGATGCTGCGCTGGTTAAAAATGTGAGGCGGCACCGTGGCGTCCTTCTTGAGCCGGATCTGCACGCCGATAAAGGCGATTATCAGGATTCCTGAGATGACAAACAGCGCGATGATGCGTCCATTGCTCCAGGGGTAAGCTGTGCCGCCCCACTGTAAGGCAAGCAGGAAGCAGATGACAGAGGGAAGGAAGACCACGCTACCTAGGGGGTCGAGGCGGAGGATCTGTTGCTTCCAGGTGCACAGTTTGGGTTTGTGGGGGGCAGCTAGGAAAAGGAACAAGATGACCATGGTGAAACCGCCAACGGGCAAGTTGATGTAGAAGCACCAACGCCATGTTACCTTGTCTGTGAACGCACCACCCATCAAAGGACCGATGATTGACGAAAGCCCAAAGGTTGACCCCATCAGCCCAACGTACATGGGTCGTTTGGCCAGCGGCACAATCTGTGCAATTATCACCGTCGCGCCCGAAAATATGCCCGCTGATCCAATGCCTGCTATTGCACGTCCCACGATGAAGGCCTTGGAACTGGGGGCACCACCACAGACCGCCGATCCGACTTCAAAAATAAGGATCGCGATCAAAAAGATGGTCTTGGTCGAGTAGAAGGTGTACACTTTACCCCAGGATAGCTGGGTGGCGCAACTTGCCAGCAGATATGCACTGGCATACCAACTAATGTCGTCAAGGGCGTTAAACTGGGTTGCGATTCGAGGAACTGCTGTGGCAATGATGGTGCGATCCTATAGTGTTCAAAGTCTTGTTAGTATAGATCCAGGTGGGCAATAGGAAACACAAAGTTCATACCAAGGCAACCAAAAAAAAAGCAAACAGAATCGAAATAATAATAGCTAGCAGCCGGGCCCCCGTTGGTAAGTGAGTCTCATCTTCCTTGGCCTCGGAGGGCTTCTCGGTGGTAGTTGAGACCTGGTCCAGTTGCTGGTCAAGCTCCTCTTCTATCGATTGCGTCATGGTATAATACACAAATGCGAAATGGCAAGTAAATCTTTGCGGCGGTATCAATTGACACATAGGGAAAATGGCAGGCTTATAAGTAATTGAAGGTTGTCCAGAGTCTCGGAGGTGAAGATTAGTTCGGCGCCGAGCAACATTGAAGAAAGCCCAGTTCGGCGCCGAATGAGCTTCGGAAGGGACCCAACGCCCTTCGCTCCCTCTCATGTTTGCGAAACAGACAGGGATGTAATGCATCCGAGGCTGAAAGATCTTTGATTTTCGGCGGACTGCAGAATTTCCATGAGTCCCAACCCCCCTCCCATCTCTTCGACTGCACTTTAATCACCCAACAAAGAATTGCATAGTTGACGCCGTAGCTCCAAGGACTCCTACCACTTTGGCTAGTGGTAAAAAAGTGCAAACACGGCCTACAGTATCACACGGGTGATTCTGAAGAAGATTCACAAAGCTGTCACCAGCCTGAGATGCATGTTTTCGAAGGGTGGCCATGACACTGGAGTACCGAGGTGATCGATCTCCTTTTCAATGCCATGATCGTCACTATAAACCAGTACGACGCTCATACGGCACCTAGGTACCATGTTACCCCGTTGCCTCTGACTTAGCGTGTCGATAATGTCGACTTGTGACAGCGCCAGGAACAGTGCGAATATTCTGTAGCAAATATCATGTTCTAACTCCCTCGCCCCATTACTCTTGCGAATTCCGTGATTATCCAAGAGGCGTTGGAGCGGATGTCATTATCACTGAGTACGGCATGCAAAGAGGTGCATATTGAGACAGTGCGATTTATATGACTATCACGACAGCGATATCACAGACCCTCTCTCCTGCCTCGATCGCAATGGTCGTCTACCGCTTCACTGGGCAGCTGTGGGTCCCGGCTCATTTGACTGCCGACTTCCTGACGATGAAATCGACCATCGGATTACATGTACTTTCAAGTTACTTCTATCTGGCTATCCAGGAAGCAGCAATGTTAATGCCCTAGATAAGCAGGGCGAGACTGCCTTACATTACATAATAAGAGCCCACGCCTGCTGTGATGGAAGCAGACACTTTAATACCCTTGTGCGGTTATTGCTAGAATGGGGCAGATGCATCTGTGGTAGACATGAATGGTCAAACTGTGCTTCACAAACTCGCCGCCCACCGCATGGCTGGAGAACCCATCGACGCCACTTTGATAGACACCCTTCTATCATACGGCGCCAAAATGAACCAACAATATAGTAAAGGCAACACCGCATTGCACCTTATGGCAAGAAATCTACGTCAAACTCAGGCGGCCAAATTCTTACTTGGTCGAGGCGCTGATGTCAGTCTCACCAACGCAAAAGGGAATACAGCTTTACATGAATGCATGGTGATGGGAATCATTTTGCCAATACAGAGGAGAAGGGCTTCAAACCCTATATCTACTGACTGGACAAGAGCCATGGGGTGAGATGGTTTCTTTCCTCCTCGAGGCAGCTGGGAGCGAGAGCATGGACCAGCCTAATTCAGCGGGCGAGATGCCGCGAAAATTGCAGTCTGGTAAACTGTATATGTGGCAGAAGTAGGAGTCAGGTGCAGTCACTAGAATATGTAGTAATTCTTTATGAAATTTATTGTGGGCAACCACACGCATAGCAAGCGCTAGTAGCCTTGGGAGGTACCTCTGTAGCTGCCCCGCTTTCTCGGACACCTCTCCTCCACAACAACGCATAATGGACGGCCTCTCAGTAGCAGCCAGTATTATTGGTGTGATTGAGGTGGCTGGATATATTTTCAGACTGTGTGGAGGGTACATCCAAGATGTAAAAGATGCTAGGGCCGACATCATTGCTCTACGAGAAACGATCAATGGCCTCGTCAATGTTCTCGAGAAGCTTGCGGGGGTTCTTGACGACCCCAATTCAAGATTCAATATAACATTAGCGTTGAAAGATGATATCCGCACTTGCCTATTGACACTAGAGGCCCTTCAAGAAAAAGCTGATCCCGGAAAGGGCAAAAAGGCGATGAGAAAGCTAGGGTTTCGAGCGCTGAAATGGCCGATGAAACGTTCAGAAGTCGAAAGAGTGATGGATGATATTAAGAGATATGAATCGTCGTTTTCTTTATCCCTTCAGGTCGATCAGATGTGGGTGTTAGCTGCATTAGGTGTTCCTTCCTCATGACGCGAAAAAGGCTGATTCTGTTCATCTACCAGGGCAATCATTATCGATGTAGCTGGAACAACCAACTTGATTGATCAAAACATGGATCTAGAAAAGCTACCAGTTGCCCCTGGGGCTGAATTTGACTCTTACATGGATCAGCACGAAGACGAATGTCTTGAAGGGACCAGAACAGGTCTCCAGCAACAGATCGCAAGATGGGCAGCATCGCCACAAAGCAATTGCATCTTCTGGTTAAATGGAATGGCTGGAACGGGGAAATCGACCATATCTCGCACAGTAGCTCGGTCTTTCAAACAAAATAGGCAGCTGGGCGCAAGCTTCTTCTTCAAGAGAGGTGAGGGTGACCGAGGAAATGCGACGAAACTATTTACGACATTGGCACAACAAATCATAAGCATGCTTCCTGAATTGACTCTCGCAATTCGAAAAGTAGTCCAGGACGACCCGGTTATTGCGACGAGAGGGCTTAAACAACAGTTCAACAAGCTTCTGCTTGAACCATTACTGGAAATCAGAAGCTCGAGTGAAGGCCGGATATTAGTGATCGTGATTGATGCTCTAGATGAGTGCGAATCGGAGGATGATATACGGGCAATTCTTCAATTGATACCACAGCTTCAAAAGTCAAAAGCGGTGCAGATTCGAGTCTTCTTGACGAGTAGGCCAGAGTTGCCAATCCGTCTTGGGTTTTCCAAAATGGCCAATCAAGACTACAAAAATCTCACTCTCCATGAGCTACCGGAAGATGTCACCGCACACGACATATTATTGTTTCTGAAGCATCGGCTAGCTCAAATTGGGAAGGAGCGCTCATTGCCTGTTGATTGGCCTGGGGGCATCAGAACACAACAGCTTTTGGAAATATCAGTTCCGCTCTTTATCTTTGCTGCTACCATGTGTCGTATACTCAATGATCTTCAATGGGACCCTATTGACAGCCTCGAAGAGATCCTTGCTTGCCGAGGGGAGAACGCTAGTCTTTCTAGAACATACCTCCCTGTGTTCAATCGACTTCTTCTCAATCAGAATGAGAAACAAAAGAAGCAGCTTATACAAGAGTTTCAAGACATAGTGGGTACAATCGTCATCCTTGAAAGTCCTCTGTCTATTATCTCAATCTCTGCGCTTCTTGGCATCTCCGAACGTCTCGTCAAGGTGAGGCTGAGCTCGTTGAACTCGGTGCTGAGCATCCCGCAAAATGAAATCATGCCGGTGAGACTTTTCCACCTATCATTTAGAGATTTCCTTCTTGATCCAGGGACATCCAAGAAGACTCCATTTGCCATAGATGGCAAGGTGTCACACTCGAAACTGGCGATAAGATGTCTTTCGGTCTGTTCGAGTTTGAAAAAGAACATCTGTGGACTTCAACATGATGGAACTCAGAGATCTGAGATTGCTACTTCACGTATCAGCCGTTGTCTTCCTCTCGAGGTTCAGTACGCGTGTCGTTTCTGGGCCTACCATCTCACGCAGGGTGACGACCCAAAGACACTGCATGGCGTTTTCACCTTCTTGCAGGCCCACTTCCTCCACTGGATGGAGGCAATGGGAATTCTAGGTCTTGCACAGGAAGTGGTAGGAATCATTGACCTTTTGTACTCTTGGGTAGAGGTGAGTTTGTTGGCTATTTGATACTTATTCATGATAAAGCTGATCAAGACAGAGCCACAAGTCCAATGAGCTCTCTGAGTACCTACAGGACGCTAGACGATTTGCGTCAAGGAATACTGTCATAGCAAATGAAGCCCCTCTCCAGCTTTATTGCTCAGGTCTTCTGTTTGCCCCGAAAAGCTCAATTATACGCAAGACCTTCACCAAGTACCTTCCTACGTGGATTCCCACAGTCCCGGACGTTCAAGAGAATTGGAGTGCAGACGTTCAGTCTTTCGATGACTTCTCGGGGGGCTTTTTGCCAATTTCCTTCTCCTCAGATAGCCGGACTTTAGCATATAGTGCTGATGATGGCAGTATCAAACTCTGGGACGTCATGACAGGAGTCTTGAAACACACTTTGGAGGGGCATCCGAATGATACAGAGGAGCTTGTGTTCATTTTCATTTCTTTCTCGCCAGATGGTCAATTGCTCGCGTCCGCCAGTATTAATGATCCTCGCACTGTTAAGCTCTGGGACCCTGTCGCGGGTACATTGCAGCGCACACTTAACCATCCGCTGTGCTCTCCTTTTTTTCCGACTTTCTCTCCCGACGGCCGCTTTTTGGTTTCTCCTACATGTGACCCTGATCGCCCTGGAATATTTGTCTGGGACTTGATCAGGGATTGTTTTGAGCAAATAGCAGCCAACAGCTCAGGAACCGTTAGCTGTGTAGCATTCTCTCCCGATAGCCAGCTTCTAGCGTTCGCATTAGCCGGTGGCTCGGTAAAGCTGTGGGACATTGCTTCCGGCAGGCTTCGACAGACCTTGGAATGTCACACAGAGTCAATAACGCGTCTCTCATTCTCTCACACTGGCCAGTTTCTTGGGATTCTATACGATCAATTTAGGTTCGGGATCTGGAATATCGTGACCGGCGCAGAGAAGATTCTTCCAGGTACGATATATGCCGGAATATTCTCGCCCACCGAGCAGGTTCTGGTGACTGTGTCGGGTGAATGTTTATTATCCTCATGGGACCCTGACACTGGACTTCCCGTGAATGACTTTCAAGGCAAATATAGCCCTAATGGTCTAGTATTTTCTCCTGATGGCAAGTTCTTGGCCCTCGCACGGGACCACTTTCAAGTCATGGTACTGGATATGTCCACAGGTATTGCGTATGCTCCGTTCGGTGCACACTCTGATCTTGTAGTATCTATGGCTTTCTCCCCCAACGGTCAATTTCTTGCGTCTGGCTCTAGGGACCAGGTAGTCAAAATCTGGCATGTTGGTACAGGTATACCAAAGCCGGAACAACATTCTGAGGGTCATTCAAGCAGGATTCGCTCATTAACCTTTTCCGCTGATGGCGAAACCTTCGCCGGTTGCTGCAATGATGGAACAGTTGCACTGTGGTACCCGAGGACGGGTAGTCTATCCCAAAAGCAATTACTAGCAAGTTTCCCTGGACTCGACGTTGCTTTAGCACCCAGTGGGAAATTTCTTGTTTCTATTTCAGTCGAAAAAGAGATTAAACTGTGGAGAATAACCAAGTCCAAAATTGAGCCCATTCCAACCTTCCAGAGTCTGAACTCTGCAGACGAGCCGTGTGGGACTAGTGAAGTGACCTTCTCTCCCTGTAGCCGCATGTTAGCCTCCCATTCGGGGGGCACTATTCAGCTTTGGGATGCAGACACCACGACAGGTTCTCTCCGCCTGAAACATACTTTGCATTATGATTCAGAGTATATTTGCGAGAATCTAATATTTTCACCAAACAGCCAGCTTCTAGCAGCTCGTTCGGGAGATAAAATGCTCAGGATTTGGAACACTAGAACTGGCTCCTTGGAAAAAACATTTCCATGCCATCCAATGGAGATTTGCAATCTGGAATTCTCTCCCAACGGCCGATTTATCGCTTCCTACTTGCTCAATGAGGGTCGTCGGTTTCTTTCTCTCCTGGAAATTTCTACAAATGAACAAAAGCAGACCTGGAGAATTCCGGGATATAGCGAGAGATTAATGTTCTCTCGAGATGGCTCATATTTAAGGACTGATTTTGGCCACATCGATATCCGGCCTGAGTATTGGGACGCTCCCATTTCTCCGGGGGAGGATGTGGAGATTTCTATATTCAAGTCACACTGGGTAACCTTTAACCGCCGAAAGATATTATGGCTGCCTCTGGAGTACCGACCCAGCTGCTTCGCGGTCCATGGCAATATTCTTGTGCTCGGATACGGATCAGAAAGGGTTTTGTTTATAGAATTTTGTCCTCAATGATCTTGCGAAGGAACTCAAGTGAAAGTCTCTTGTGTCAAATGCTTCTTTGGAGGTTGCTATACAGCTGGGTGCACAGTGGGAAGGTATAGGACAGGAGCATGCTATCACTGTGACCAGAGACTACGATGTAAACATTGTACATCGTATACCATTGTGTTTGTGTCTATAGATTGTAGCTCAATGTCATTGGTTCGGTAGGAAGCAATACATAAAAATAGTAATTATAGCCGCTTCTGGTTTGTCGAGAACCACGTAGAGTGCGAAGGTCCCCCACTCGAGACTTTACCTTGGTACACACCTGTCAAGCCACTACCATCCTACAAGCCCACATTTTCCAGGTTCAAAGTTAAGATTAATGGTTCGGTCATAAGAGGAACAAGCCATACATAACGGTAACCCAGGCGTCCATTATTTGAACAATAATAGTCCCTTCATATGCAGATTTTAAGCCGACAGAAAATGTCCGAAAGGTCAGATGATGGAAATTGTAAATGTCGATGCCAAGACTTTAATATAAAATGCCCGGATATTCGGTATGACGTACCTGGGCAATGACGTAGGACCCAACATGTTAACTACCATGGGCTCACTTTCTATTTTAACCTGTTCTTAAGTATATTATTGAATTTTTCCATAGCATGTTCTTTGACATTGGAAGAACCCGCAGGTTGCAGTGATAACCACAGTACATACGATCGAAACCCATAAAGAATACACCAACACAATGGCCAACATATCAATTAGTGCCCCTGGCCTGAACAGCGGCGGGTTTCTTTATAGCAATGGCAACAATAATGCGCGACTGTGCATCACAGCCGAGTCCGAAGATTTCGACATGGAGATCATCAAAAACTGGCAAGAGGAAGGATTCGACGTCGTATACCTCCCTTATAACGGCGGAGGAAAAGAGTACGCTCGCCGGCTGCAGTCTGTAAAGGACGGCCTCGGTGTAGGCGAAAATTACGCGGTGATCGGTACGCATAGAACTCTCTCTAAAGGTCATCATAAAGAGTGATGGACTGACTGACCCAATTCCTAGCCTATGGCGACGCCGCGGACTACTGTCTCGACTATTATCTCAATTCCATCAACGCCAGTCGACTCTGCGCCCTAGTCGCCTACTACCCCAGTCTGATCCCCGATACACGAGCGCGATTCCCACTGTCGCTACAGGTTCTCGTGCACTTGGCAGGCGAGACTGTGGACGTACTTGTTCAGCCCGTCGCGCTTGGTTTGCAAGGAAAGAAACGCCGCCAGACTCGTCCGATCAACGCTGGTATCGGGACTGGAGAGCGTTTGGAGCTGGCGTACCCGGCGTTTACGTATGATAACGCCGTGCCCGGGTTTGCAGAGACTGATCTGGAGGAATACGATCATCTGTCAGCGGATCTAGCCTGGACGCGGACTTTGAAGGTCCTGCGGAAGGGGTATTCTAGGGATGCAGATTACGAGCAGCGGTATGAGCAGCATGTGGATGGTAAGTTGAAATCACAAAAGAATCGAGCGACGGCGGGCTAATCCTCTGTCAGGCAAGTTTTTCTCGTCGAACGTCAGGAAGGCCATGGATGGTTACGTCCAACACAAAACTCCCAGTATCACTTATACGCCGACAATCAGCGGCGGAATCGGGAAAAAAGCTTTGCGCCATTTCTATGAACATTACTTTATCGGCAAACTCCCTCCGTCCATGCGCCTCCGACTGCTTTCTCGTACCACAGGAGCCGATCGCATCGTGGATGAGCTATACGTAAGCTACGAGCACACACAGGAGGTTCCATGGATGCTACCGGGCGTCCCACCGACAAACAAGCGAGTCGAGATCATCCTTGTGAGTATTGTCAGTATGCGCGCCGGACGTCTTTACTCCGAGCACGTATACTGGGATCAAGCAAGTGTCCTCGTGCAAGTCGGCCTTCTGGACCCCAAGCTGCTGCCGGAGGGAATCCAGGGTGTCGACCGGCTACCCGTTGTTGGGCGTGAAGCCGCTCGTCGCATCCTCCATGAAGATACGGAGCTTGAACAGGAAGACTACCACAACAAGATGATCCGCCGTGCGCGTGCGCGTGCAAGGAGAAGCTTGAACAAGAGCGCCCGCGCGTCGCAGGCTGGTGATGACTATAGTGACCTGAGGAGTGAGGCGGAGCAGTCGCTGCCTGACAGAAGTCGGAACAAGGGCAAGGCGGTTCAGAAAACGAAGCCTGCCAGTCTGCAACGGACGAACACGGAAGCGGCCGAGGACGAGAATGATGACGGCAGTGATACGGAGACAGAGCCTAAGGCCGGCGATCAAGCTGCCTATGTCGAGGATGGGGAAGATGATAGTGGTGAGAACGGGTCTAAACAGACGTGACTTCTCACTTCTACTTCTCTTTGTCGGGATGACCACGAAGACATCGCTATAGCCCTTATCCTGCCCCTAGAAGAGGTTAAGTTGACGATGTATGAATTGAGTTGGGAATGTTCTTCTGGTATTTTATGGGACTGTTTTTTGATTATGAGTGATGTTGTACCTATTGATTTCTTTTGTTTAGCATTAATGATTGACACTATTGTGGACATGATGATGAATGTGATATATAATTAGCAGTATGTACCGGATTTTGATGATTAGTAGGCTTGGATTAGTTCGCCCTTTTCAACATCCCAGAGTATGACAGTTCCGTCGTGGTCTGAGGCCACGATTTGACAATTTGGAGAAAGACGAGTGATGTGATAATTTAATAACAAATATATATGTTAAACGAAAATACACAGGTACTCTATACTTATTGCTTAAATATTACAAAAGATATGGGCATAGCCCATTAAAAAAGCCCAGCGTGATTTTCCCCTAAAAGTTTCGCCCGATTAGAAAATTAATATCTACAATCCCTTACAGCCCTACGCAATTTATTCGTTATTTAATTCGATCAAATCAATATTGATATGTAGAGAATTCATTGCGTGTTATATCCCATACATATACATATTTCTGTATCATTTTCCACGTGAGTAAATGTAATTTCTAATAAACTTCCCGCTGACCCCAAACAGCCAGATGTTGGCCAATGAAGTCGTAGAAATCGGCTAAGGCAATGGGCCGCGATAACTGATAAAGGGGATATCTCCGTTCCATCTTCAATCTTGGCCCTTCGATACGTAACTACAGAGATACCAGGCGATAAGTGGGAAAGCAGTAACTTCCCAATTTTGAAGAGGATCTACCTCCACATCAGCAAAGCCTACTGCATGTGGAGAAGCCATGTGGGCAAGAAAATTATCGCGCATAGCCGGCTCTTCACATGGCCCTAACGCGTATCTATGACTCGAGTGATGAATTAGGTAAACGGCTGAATCTCCGACCAGAGCTTCTGTTGCCTATCGCAAAGTTAAAATCGCCAAGCGGTAGCTATCTACAGTTGAATTAACTATAAGGGTACGCCGTGTCCCACAAAATTCCCCGAGAGAGCATACCTTATCATACCCACGTCTCCCAAGATGCGTACTTCTTTAAGCACCTGGACTCTGTTCCTATCCTACCTAGGATGCAGTGCAGCTGCTCCAACATTACCTCCTCTTCCTCGTCGCCTGGTTGCGCGTGACACCTCTTTCAACAGCAGCCTTCCGAATATCACCATTTTCGCTACTGGAGGCACTATTGCCGGCTCTGCTGCCTCAAACACTGCGACCACTGGATACACCGCCGGCGCACTTGGCGTTGACATCCTTCTCCAAGCTGTGCCTGAGCTCCAGAACATCTCAAACGTCAAAGGTGTCCAGGTCGCCAATGTTGATTCGGGGTCCATCACTCCCGAAATTCTCCTGAACTTGACATCACTGATCCAAGCTGCTCTGGACGACCCATATTGCCAGGGAGCCGTTGTCACTCATGGAACAGATACTTTGGAGGAATCGGCGATCTTCCTTGACCTGACTATCAAGTCGGAGAAGCCTGTCGTCGTAGTGGGTGCTATGCGACCAGCAACAGCTATCAGCGCGGATGGACCCATGAACCTGTTGGAAGCCGTCACTCTTGCGGCCACCCCCGAGGCACGTGGACGTGGTGCCATGGTTGTGCTGAACGACCGTATCGGGAGCGCCTTTTACATGACAAAAACGCATTCGAATTCCCTAGACACATTCAAGGCAAACGAACAAGGCTACCTGGGCTTCTTCCTGGATACAAAGCCGCTGTTCTACTATCCTCCAGTCTTGCCTAATGGCCGTGCGTACTTCAACGTCTCGGGGGCAACTGAATTGCCTGAAGTGGATATCCTCTTCGGGCATCAAGTACTCAACCCGAAGCTGGCTCGCACTGCAGTAGAGAGTGGAGCAAAGGGTTTAGTCTTGGCGGGTATGGGTGCTGGGGGCTGGACATCGGCGGGAACAAATGAGATTGAGAAGTTGGTTAAGAAATACGGCACGCAAGTCGTGGTTTCCAGCAGGACGATGGGAGGCTTTGTCCAGAAAGAAGGCTCTGTAAATATGTACAGCGGACAGGACCTGAACCCTCAAAAGGCTCGTATAATGCTGCAACTTGCTCTTTACGCAGGATACAGCTCTAGGCAGCTCGCAACATTGTTCGGGTTTGGGTTTGCATCTTGAGAGCCAGTACGGATCTCGGCAATGGTGGGAGGCTACATAGCAACTCCTAGTCATTAGCGCTTGAACATAGAGTATAGAAAGATTATTTAATTTATAGTAACCTCCTCTCACCAAACCTGAAGCCACGAATTGAAATATAAGTGTGGTGGCCATTTCTATACTAAGGAAGAGCCATATATTCGTACAAATGATTGATTGGTCAATGGCTCATCAAAAACAGCATTGTGAACCTTCCAGTTTAGAAGATTTGGCGAGAATAAATACAGCGTATTTTGTCCTCAGACCACAACAAAAACCATCTTGTATGGGGCCGAGAGGCGCCATATCTGATGTTTGACAGATTGTCTTATCTAGAATCGCGTTCCCTTTCCAATGACAGTGGGGCCGTAAAACAATTATTATCTACCGGCTTTTACGTCACAATTTTACTGTATCGATCGGGATCCCAATTCAATGAGCCAATGATGAACCAGGTATGATAGAGAGTATCGTTTAAAAATCTCAGGTATACCAGAGGGCATATCGTAGACTTTGTACGCCTTTAAGTGCTACCCTTATCTCTATAAGGAGGGAGATAAGGACTACTCTTATATTCGCTATCGCTTCCCCGTACTGACCACTATAGAAGGATAAATAAGCTAACTCGCTATCATAAACTTATGCTCGATTAGTCCGATAGGATTATTATCCTTAGAATCCTTACTTGTAAAGGATATGTCCTTATTAGATAGTTCTTTAAGTTTAATGTCAAACTAGGTTTTACACCGGAATATCATGATATCCTAGACTATCTTCGCACTTAGCCACCTACGCTAGTAGGTAGTGGCAGATATCCCATACTAAACCAAAAAGACGTTTAACTCTAGCGCCTATTATAAGAATAGAGAGAATATCGCGAATAACACTTAAGAGAATCGGGAATTTATTCTTGTATTCCTTCTAGAATTATAAAGGATCGACTTTTCTCCTTACTATAATTAGACTGCGACATCGCCCACCGCCCACGGGCATGCCCACTATGGTGCTATTCTCTCGGGTATCGCAGTAAGTAATGGGCTTGTTGAAGCTTAGACTTCTACTGTACTGGCTCTAACCAGGCATCTAAGGTCGGGTATTATGTCCCTCAAATGATTCTGTTTCCAAGTATCGTGTCTGTTACCGCGGGTTTGATATTCCGGTACAACCCTCAACACATCGACTAAATATTGGTAGGTCAAGCGTGATCTTTCCCTCTTTCAACAGCCTTTCCCGGGTCACTAACACTGTAGAACAGGGTCGGAACTCTAGTTTTGATCGGATTCGGAACCGGAATAGGCATGCAAATGCCGCTCACAGCTGTCCAAACAATTATGAAAGGCACTGATGTTGCCGCCGCCACGTCCGTTCTAGTCCTTGCCCAAACGCTGAGTGGAGCTATATTCCTGGCTGTCGGACAGAATCCTTTCAAAATAGATTGATTGAGGTGTTAAACAACAGCATTGATAAAGTAGACTCTGACTTAATCATCCCAAATGGTGCATCTGGACTGAACACGGCGGTTACAAAGCGATATGGTTCGGTGACTGCAATAAAGGTGCTTGAGCTATACAATGAGGCACTCAAGGAATTCTTTTTGGTGTCTAGTCTTATCAGCTGTGACTATCATCGGTTTTATGGCTATGGAGTGGAGAAGCGTAAAGGCAGTGAGGATGAAAAGACGGAAGTTAGCGCTTCTGAAAAGTCCGATTAAGGCTGATTCAGATTACTTACGGCTGGAAAAAAGCCTTAGGTTCACTTCAAACCAAATTTAATTTGAAGGTAGAAGGGGGCCACTGTGGTGCTAGAACAGCGCTATACCAGATGAAGCGGACGCAGCGATCCCTCCCAAGTATAGAATGGCCAAGTCTCTGACTATATAATGCCTGTTGTGTTTCTCCTGTGTATCTTCCTCCTAGAACTGCCATGCCACGCGACGAAAAAGGACAAAATGCCACTCCGCTTCATTGAAAAACATAACCCCCAGATACCTGCGTGGGGGAAGACTCGATTGGATGTTTATTTTCTTTCCGAATGGGAAAAACCTCACCCAGAACCCTCAGTCTCTAATGAGTCCCACGCCGACCGTCGCAAAAGGCTTTTACGCCAATTTCTCGCATTAGGATGCGAAGGAAGACAGGTCAATACCCTCTATACCTTGTAAAAGACCACAACATTAAACTAACCGAACATCAACTTATTAGCCTTATCAACCAGGCAATTTACCACCCTCTCCTACTCAAGCTCAAATAGATGATATTCTTCGGCCTGCAAGGCCTGAATCACTGCGTGTCTACGGTCATAATACCACTGCTGACAATGGCTGCTGGCTTCGTCTCTGCTACACGAATGAAGAGGGCCATAATGCTCTATGGTGTGCCAATGAACTCACAGAGTGGGTTACTTATGATGGGGTTGTCCTTGATGATGAAAGTATTTTCAATGGCCTGGATTTGGCAGCTGCCTTGGAAATATTTCCTGAGCGTGTCGCAAATGAGCGGGTCGATTTTGAGATCAGAGAGGAGAGCCTCAGGGACGCGATAGAGAATGCCGAAGAAGGCGACTGGGATGAAAACCCTCTTGAGCCATACGCTCTGTATCAGGCAGAGTGTGTTGTTACCCATATGTATGTGGAGGATGATGTTGCGGTGAATGGCGGGGGTTTGTTGCATGTGTTTTTGGACGACCGTGGGAATGTGGTCAGGCAATGGCGGGTGCAAGATGATGGATCGGAGAGTAATTATGATGGCGCTTGGTTTGAGCGTGTTTGGAAAGGGGACTTTGAAGGCGAGCGTGGAGAAGTCGGTCCTGCTTATCAGGAGGGTGGAAGCCGAGGTCCCCCATACACTCTTTGAAGACGTGAGACTGTGAGCTAATAGAAAACCGGGTTAGTATAGTCTACCTCAATGAGGGAGATAATTAGGGTTTAAATATCGAAAATTGGGTCGCTTTTCCTTAGACGGGAACTCCAATCGTACATATAAAACGTGACATTATCATACGTGATATTTTTCGAACCCGTAATCCATACGCCCAAAACCATCAAAATCGAAAGAGAATTTATTCGGAGATTGGTGGCTACAATTCGTAGGGGTTTCCCTGAAGGCTGGGTGGGAATTTTCCTAAAAGGATGAATATTCCGGCACCTAACACTTCTGATTTGTTTAAGATGTGACATCCTCGCATTTGCTACACATCCCTAGTGTAATAAACTCTGAGAATTAGCAAGAGCTTTCCTTATATTAAGGCTTAAGAGGGGCTATGTGTCTACATGAGTCCACTCATTATTAGAGTTAAAAGCGTCGGCTAGAGCTTAGGTATACCTCACTTATATCCGAATCCCCTATAGAGTACCATAGCTGTGAGGTTTAGATAAATACAGTGGCATTCTGTGTAGTAACGGTTTATGAAGGGAACGTTGAAATTTACTGTGTAAATGGATCCACTGTGAGAGCCAGAACCGTAAGAGGTGTCCTAACATAAGTCAGGCTTCCTATTTTCGACCTAAATATTCCCCTTAGTAAAACTTCTAAGGATCCCCAGAGCCCCCGGCTTACCTAGTCAATAACCTGCATATAATATAGTGGAGCTGGTTTTTAAAATAGGTTCCATTTTAACTGGCCGAGACATAAGAACACCGAGACTAGTACTGCGGCTTTAGTAATGATGACGATGATTAACACGACAGTATTAGGGGTCACGGTATATTACTAGGTCGCGTATGGGGGTGTCGTTTACCGTGATAAGAGAGGCGACTAAAAGAATAAGGCCCACGACGGCTAAGGTAACAGATCCTATTTCCCATGCCCAGGAGCCGCTCTAATCGAACCGAGGTCGCTTCGTTTTAGTGTCTCTTTACGGGTGTGTATACATAGCCATACCGTCTATTTATGAGACTCCTAATTCAGTCTCGCTGGCATGTTTCTGAACAGACATACGAGGACTAGCTTGGTTTTTAAACCTTTCGAGCTCGAGATCAGATTCGCTCTAGCCGTCGTGTAAAGCGTAGTATGGCGGATGAGTTACCATTATGATATCACTTGGTCCACCGAGGTAGTCTCCAGCATATAGGCGTTGAGTAGACCCTTTTAGGTGATGGCAGGAAAGTGGAGAGGAAAGGGTGTTTTATCATTGTGGCTATGGGCGGCTGAACCTCAACAAATAGTGGCTATTTTTACAACTCTACGGTGCTGACATTCTCAGCCTATCATTTATACGCTAGTCAATCTGTCGTAATTACTGGCTCTTCTGATGCTGGAGGTTGTGACTAAGGTGTGAAATTCATCACAGAGGGAAACAGCCATCTCATCGAGGTATAAATCGGGCTTTTCAGACAGGTGATCGCAGAGGGCTTCGATCATCAGTGGTGTTACAGTCCGTTTCCATCCTATTCGAGTTGGGGGTGCGTGTAGACTTCCAAATTGCCGCAAGTTTGCGCAGATATTTATAATCGTAGCCTGGCTGCACTCTGCTTCTTCGGCCATTCGAGATGTGCTAAATGACTCTATCATATCGTGGATAGGATGCAGCTTGGATGGTGGAAGTGTCGGGGCCATTTTGTGAGGTCAGTTGTAACATTTAAGGGAAATGAACGGGTGAAGATGCTATGGCAGAGAAATATCATTGCATGAGATTTTCGAGTAAAATATAGCAGGGTCCCGCGTCATGTAAATACAATGTCTATTATTGGAATTCATGGATTGACCATTATTCTCAATGTGAACTAGCGTGTTTCAAGCAAGTTAGGGTTCGCGAACCAAATCGCAATAGTGTGAAGCTAAAACTGATTTCGAATTCTACTTGACAAATGTTGCAACAATTTCAAGGTTGAGCTGACACTGGAACATTATGCCGGATAAATCATTACTCCGGGTTTCGGGTATGAAGGCGGTCCTCAGTGGCAATATTAATATTCGGGCTTTCCTCACCCAATGAACATCGTTACTGGCCACGGACCCATCCGGCAGGGGTAGTGTAGCATGCATACACTCAATGACACCTACATTCTGCTATACACACATACATAGTACTCTAGTCAATTACCGCCTTTCAACGCTATAGTACAAATTAGCAGATCTACCCAGGTGTGGTTACTATTGCGGGGGTCGAGGCACGCCACTTTTAATATACCGCGTATCTACATAGCTCTGACGTCGACCTCTTCATGTACGGAACACGGATTGAACATCGCACTTCCCGCGGTTACTCAGAGATCATCGAAAGAGAAAACAAAAATCTCATGTGCATCGACTCATTCCTGAAATGTGTTCCTAGGGGCCCAAAGATTCACTCTCGACCCTGGCCAATATGACGCGGCATTCACATTTCCAGACCGGTCGCAGACCTCGAGGTTATCCCGGCTTCCAGCTAGACGAGACTCGTGTCACCGGCCCAATATCCTTCCTCAATCCCACTGCCGCACACTATAAACCAACCCAGCACACAGAAGAGACTCGGCCTCCTCCACAAATCGAGCGTCTCTGGCGATCTCGCGACAACAGAAAAGGCCGACATGCCATTCGCATCGATACAGAGGCCCTACCCCATGAAACGGGAGTCAAGGTACCACCACTTACGCGGTCATTCTCATCGGTAGCCAAGATCTTTCTCCAGATGGTGACCTACGTCCCTTATTGGGACGTGTCGTATCTAGTCGCCATGAGCTTCACTATCGGGTCCGCCGTCTTCATCGTCAATGGGTTCTTCGTGTGGTTACCACTCGCAGCCAAGAACACCGAGTTTCCGGGTGAGATTGAAGTTGCCGGCGGTTGGACTGGGTTCGTCGGCGCGACCATATTCGAAATCGGAGGTATATTACTGATGTTTGAAGCATTTAATACCAACCAGACTGGATGTTTTGGCTGGGCGCTTCAAACTGTCGTCGAGAAATCTATCGAGGATGGGATTCCTCACCATGCAATTAAAGAGCTCAAGCCGAAGATCTCAAAGTGTGAGCATCATCAGGCGAATCGGAAATCGTTTCTCCGGGAGAGACACTTTCATCATGCTAGTGACGATGCTCATCTTCATCGGGACGACACAGGTTACGTTACTTCGTCAACAGATGGCAGGACATTCCGATGGATACCGTCGATGAAGGAATTCCGGCATTATTTTCATGAGATTGGCTTTCTAGCTTCTTTTATCTTATTTTTGAGCGCAACAGTCTTCTATATTGGTGCAATTGTTGGCGTTCCTGGTATCATTAATCACCTGAGCAAGGGAGTCACTGATGGCCTCTACTGGGGTACTAGTACTCTTGGTGGGTTGGGATTCACTATAAGCTCATGGATGTACATGCTTGAGACGCAGTCCAAGTGGTACCTTCCTGCTTGGCGTGTTCTGGGCTGGCACGTTGGGTTCTGGAATTTGATTGGCAGTGTTGGGTTTACTCTTTGTGGTGCACTGGGACCGGCGAGTGACAACTCTGGCGTGGATTATCAATCTTCACTCGCTACATTCTGGGGCTCGGTGGCTTTCATGATAGGATCTATGATCCAGTGGTATGAGAGTTTGCAGAAGCATCCCGTTGAGAAAAAATGATGATGAGCTTGAACCAAGACATGTGTGAGAATTATTAGTAGACTTATAAAAGAAAGCAAGCTATGTATATATTAAACAAGAATGCATCTGCCTTTGGTCTCGGTTGAGAAAGAAATGCTAAGAAACCAATGCCAAGACATCCGCTCCAAGCCGCCTTGCTAGAGTTCTACCTCAAAACTGACATAGTTTTACACGTTCATTATCAAGTCAGCCATATTGGCATCTTCAGGGACTACTCTTAAAGCAATGGTCGCCAATTCAATTTGGGTTATTTCACTAACTCACGGAACCCATCCCACCTGTTGCATAGGCCACTGCAACCAGCAACGATGCTCCTCATCCAAAAGATAATATATACCACTGATAGTATGGACGCTGAACCCCTGCACCCACCAAGCCCATTCCATCTCTTTCATAACAACACAGAAATATGCAAAAATCACCATCGCTTCAGGCGTGCGCTGCTGGAAGTACCCGAAATACCGATCCGAAACTCTCAATAACCAAATAAATATATCAGCAGTCTCGCAGTTATGTGACCCAATTTCGTCCACTGTAGCGAATGACATTGCCATGTCATCTATTGAGTCGTGATAGCACTGTAACTCACCGGGATCCTGAACTGTATCCTGCAAGAGCTGCTTCAAGACGAGAAGGAACGGCGGCATGGCCGTGGCAGACCTCGCGTCCCGAGCCAGCTTCTTGCGATGACCCATAACAAACATCGGTGCTAGAAGGCCCGTCTTGATAGAGACATCTGCCGATTCCAGGATGTGTATTGTGCCACGAAAGAGGGTCAACCACTCGATATCTCGATCACTATTTGCCCAGAAATCGTGTCTGCGCGGCTTGGTGCAGGAGATAATGCAGGTCAGGATCGAAAAGAGATATATGCTTTGGCAGTTCTCCTTATTTACGTCTGGGAGGATGGCAGTTACCATCTGCAAGGCGGTGTTATGGTGAAGCTCGGCTTGGGAGACATAATGGTCGTGGAATTCGGGTTTTACATGAGCCAGATGCAGCGCGGAAAGAGCGATAATGGTGCGGAATACGAATGGCGACGTGAAGCTAACTTGCGGAATCCGGATTTGCCATACTGTTTGCAGAATTGGGTTGCGTGAAATCGTATAGCAGGTTGATGTGGAGAAGTGGTGAAGTAGAGCCATCTCGGCCATGCCCATTGGTGGGGTGTTCTCCCCCGAGACGGGACTTGGGGCGCTGGAAGTGCCGGGAGTTGGAGACCCCGATTGTCTGGGGCCAGCGGAGGAGCCCTCACCGAAGAGACATTGTACTCCGTGTTTGAAGCAGTTGTTACAGTGTGGCCTGGTCTCATCGCACTTTTTGACATGTCAAAGAAGGAGATATATTATTTTCTTTGGGTCACTCACTTTTATTTTGCGGGCTTTACACCATTGGCAGCCATTCCTAGACTTCTTGTGCGACCGTCGAGGCCCCATGTTAACGCCCGTTGGGACTGAGCCTGTACAGGTCAAAGTAGATATATAGATAACTGAAGAGAGAGGATGTAGTCTTTAAATTCCAAAAGATGGGCTATTTCAACTGTCTCGAGAAAGAGTTTTCGTACTTCTCAACCCAAAATCCATGTCGAACGCCAAAATGCTAGCGCTGCTCCGACCCACAAAACAAACGTTTAAGCTAAAAATAATCCATGGTACTATCTTTATTCTTGTCTTTCTATTTAACCCCAAATTCATCACTCAGGCATCTCTCCTCATATCGAGCATTTCCTTGCTACTCTCTTGTGACTCAACGTCGCGTGTAGCCGGCTGTGGAGTCACCAATGTCTTCGGGGAGAAGATATTGAAGGTGAGCATAGTCAAGAACATCAAGGCAGCATCAAAGATATACAGGTACACCTCCGTTGACATGAGCGGACCATTTGTACCAGTAATATACTCAATGGCACGGAAGATAGACCGAATCATAATGAACAAACTAGCCGTATATAGGACAAAGAAGCACTTTTGCCACGGCACCCTGATAGAAGACATGGAAATGCAATCACGACACTTCCAGAGCCGGTAATGAAAGACGCTAGCAGTCACAACGAAAAACCCGAAGAAAGCAATCTGGATGAAAAGACCGGCGATGATGATGTTTTGTCCGAGAATAATCTTGGACTGAGTCTTTGCGGAGGAAAGGAAGCCACCGCCAGCGCATTGGGCGAGGAACGAGACCACATCTCCGCAGACAAAGATTTTAGTCAACCACTTGACTGGGATGACAGAGAGCGAATCATGGCTGGTGGAGACAATTGAGCGGCCTAGGATCATGTAGATGGATGCAGCGAAGAATGCTGGTGCGATAAGGAGCAAGATTGATTGCATGATATATGGAGCCGTTGTCCAATTTGGGGTTTCTTTCGAGTTAAGATAGCGACCGACATAGCCGACAGCTTCAACTAGAAGCAAGTTAGCTTTATATATTGGTTCCTGGGTGTGGTATATACTTACAGAGTCCTCCAATAATGAAAGGAATGAAGAACCATGATCGGCTCCGGATCATTTGGAAAATGTGCACCAAGGTGGTCAATCCAAAGAGAGCGACGAAGATTATCGTCGCAACTGCCGACGGGTCATAGTTGTAGAGAGTGTACGTGGGGTCGTTGACCATGGCTTTGGTGGTTTGAGTGAAATTGAATAGTAAGAATAGTATCGAAACTGAAAGCTTTTGACTGTGAATAAAAAAAGCCCATGTAGAGATTGACAGACGCTTTTATACCTGCGTATTAATTGCATTACTACGAATATTTTGCGTGATATGTTGCTGAGCTTGAAAATCTATTTTGGTGAGTTACGTACTCGGGTTGGGATCCGAGAAGATTTGGACAGCATTGTGTCCCTAGAAGCTTATTTTAGGTGGTAGATCTAGATTGCTCCTTGGCGGAAACTATATAATCTAGGCTGCCGATTAAAATCTACTTGTTTCGATATTCAAGACAGATCAAATCTTGAAACTACCGTTTTGGTAAAACCGTGGGTATTTGAAGGTCAAAGATCCGAACCCGAAGTCCGAATAAGAGTAAAATATCCATCTCTAATTGGTCCCCAAGTCTCGGGTTCGTAACCTTATTTCTCGTATTCGGGTTCGGATCATCCAGCCTACCGATATCCTTCAGGCACCTACAGGTCTTGTTCGTTGAAGATGATAGGCCTAGGATTATCCAGATGCCTAGAGGTATGGTCGAATATGTCAATAATTGTTCTACCTGAACAGGACCCACCCCCGTTTAACTCTTACGGAGCATATTGGGAGTATCCAAAATTTTGATCCGAAACCGAGCCCTGCCGTGATCGTCATGGAAAACACCCAAACGAGTTGAGTTGAAGGCTGCTTCGACCGAACTGAAACTGTCATTGGCACGGGTGGCAAGAAAGCAGGAACAGGAGAATCCCAAACTTCTATAAGATGGGATCATCCCCTAAGATTGTTTAAGAAGCGTCGACCACAGATTTGATTTTGCAACAATCAAGATGCAGCTTCTCCTCCCCTTCATTGTATTGTCCCTTTCGGGCCTTACGTATGCCAATTTGAGCAGCGTAAACCCCTCGGCAACCGTGACCGGCTTCCTCTCCACTTCTTCCGGTACTCTTCAAGTTTCTAAGGGAGCTTCGTGTGCTTGCGCGAAGCTTTCTTGGTCTATGCCAAAGAGTGTGATCCTTCCTGGCTCGGCAAGCTACACAGCTCAAACCGTCGACAACTACTGGGATATCCGGGCGGATCTTTCTCCTGCATGTGTTTTCGTGCCCAATACTGCTGCCGAGGTATCGCAAGCAGTCAAGATCATCGGCGCCTGCAATGCGCACTTTGCTGTTCGTGGTGGAGGTCACATGAATGTAAGGTTATTTTTGAGATGTCAGAAAGAAAAATGGAATGATACCAATTCTCTAACTCTACAACAGTATCCTGGATCGAATAACATTGACGCGGGGGTTTTGATAGCTCTGTCGAATCTCAACTCCCTCAATGTGAGGAGAGACACCGTGGAAGTTGGCCCTGGTCTCAATTGGTACCAGGTGTATTCAGCACTTGAACCTCACGGCCGTGTTTGTATCGGTGGTCGTATGAAGACCATTGGTGTTCCTGGACTCAGTCTTATTGGTGGTTTCCACTACTTTAACAACAAGTACGGATACGCCATGGACAATGTGGTCACCTATGATGTCGTTCTTGGAAACGGCACTCAAATCACCGTCAACAAGACCTCGCACACCGATCTCTTCTGGGCCTTGAAGGGTGGTGCGAACAACTTTGGAATCGTCACCAGATTTGAACTGAAGACTTATGCTGTTCCTAAGGTCAGCACCACTATCCAGGTTTTTAACGAGACAAATATTCCCCAATATCTTTCTGCGGTCTGCGAGGCGGCTAAGCTGAACGATAAAGATCCCATTGCTGCGGGCATGATCTCAACCATCAGCTACAATGCGACTACCAAGGTGGCACAGGGCTCTGTCCTCGGTGTCCAGGAGGGTGTCAGCAACCCCCCGTCGCAGTTTGCCAACTTCACCCAGATTCCAGCAACTCAAAGAATTAATAATGTCACTACTATGAAAACGTGGGCCGAGACCCTTGACTCCCCTAAGCAGATGATGCGGTATGTATTCTTACTGTATTGCAGTTTTCATTTCACTAATTATTTAGTGTCCAATTTTCTCACAAGACGATGAAGCCTGACGCAAAGGCTCTTTATTCGATTTACAAAGCTTGGAAAGCCGCAGTCGACAAAATCGCCGATGTCCAAGGCCTTTACCCAACTTTTGTCACCAACGTCATTTCCCCGACTTCAATACGCGTGGCCAAGACTAACGGTATTGGCAACGTTTGGGGTTTTGAAGAAGAGCCTCTTATTAGTAAGTCTTCCCAAATTTGCTTCGGTTTTGCTTCTTAGACTTACCATTGTTGTACAGTTTGGCAATTCAGTACCGGATGGGCCCTAGCCCAGGACGATATTCGCATGGAGGCTTGGTCTCGTCAATTGGTCGAGCACCTTCACGGTATCAACAAAGAGCTGGGGCTTGCTTCCGAGTTCATCTACATGGGTGATGCTGGTGAGTGGCAAGATCCCTACGCGGGTTTCCCCAGTGAGAATGTTGCTCGTATGAGAAAGATCAGATCTTCTTATGATCCCGCTGGGGTTTTCTCCACTCTTAGCTGGGGTGGATTTAAGCTGGGTCTGTAATTATACTCAAATTTTCGCCTTTAGGGGACCTCGCAATAATTCTACTTGTGTGGCCACTTTGCTGTGTGTACAATATTTATGGAATCAGACCACTTCAGAAGCATGCTCGATTGAGTTTTGATGACATAGGCGCAATGGCAATAGCAGGCTATTTAGACTGGTAGCATCAACGCCTAGAAAGGGTGCCAAGCGAGGTTGTTAGAGTCAATAAAATGTCCGCAGAATGATCACCGGCCAACCTCATACATTAATGTCACCAATTATTATTTGACCTGTCATGTCTCTCTAGGTGGAACGCACGAATAGTATGGCAGTATCGTCTGGTTACCAAGCATTTTCAAGCCTTCTAAGAGGCGTACAGCCGTTCATTGGAATGTATAGGGAGTGCCCACATACCGCGCACGATCCTAGATCGACATCATATAGACACCTTGGGACTGGAATGTGTAGTCAACCAACCGATTGAGAGAAGACTGGACTTAATGACAGTTGCCAGCCCCTGAGTATGACGCGAAGGTTCTTTGAATTTTGGACGCGTTTCAAGTCCAGCATCATAGTCATTCCAGTCACTCTTCCCTGCCATCCCATTACGGCGGCGCAGCTATCATGAGAAAGGTAATAAGTAGGGCGTACTACGTATATAATAGGGGATGAGTGTCTTTCTGTGCATGCTTTGCTGTCACACAATTCAATCTGATCGTCAAAATTTACAACTTTACGGATATCAAGATCCCAGCAACCATGCGTTCCCTCACCACATCACTTATCTCCCTATCCCTGCTATCAAGCACAGTCCACGCCCAAACCATCGCCCGTGTCTGGACACACTTCTACCCCAACTGCCCTGGTGAGCCATTCAGCAAACTCGACACATACGAAAATTACCAAGAATCCACCCCACCCCAAGATATCACCGTAGACATCTGCACAAGCTTCGCAGTCCCCTCTGCCGAGCGCAGCCTCGTCAGCGCCATTTCTGTCGACGCAGAACTCCTCTCCCATAACCATGATCTCCCCTTCCTAGAGGGGGGCAGCGGCTGCAACGTCACGGTACACGAGGTGCCAGGCTGCATCGACCCGGCCCTGATCACTAAAGAGGTTCGAGATGGTGTGGAAGTCAGCCAGTGCGAGGTGCGCCAGATTGTTTACACCCAGGTCTGGGTGAAGCTGGTCTGCGACAGCGATAGTCCCCTCCACGACGAGAACGCCTCCACACAGGGAACAAAGGAGAGCAAGCAAGTAGACACCAAGCAGTCCACGCCTACTGCCCAGCCCACTGCCCAGCCCACTGCGCCTGCGCGCGCTGAGAAACAGACTTCCGTCGAGGATATCAATAATATCCAGATGCCTGGGTCGAACTCGGATTCTTGGCGTTGGTCCCAGGCCACGCATAACCAGCGTGAGCCAGTGCAGGAAAGCCGTGTCAATAATGCCGGTCATGTGGAGAGCGATCGGATCGTTCATCAGGTGATGGAGTTGTTGAAGAATAAGACTTCACATATCGTCACCGGCAAGCATCATCCTATCCACTCGAATGTTACGCTTCATCACAATGGCACTGCCCCGGGGAATCGCACTGTGGTCTCACGTCGGCGTCTCTCTGTTTTGCGAAACCGGGCTGCTCGGTTTGTTTAGAGTTGAGTTTAGATTGTATATCTTCTGGGGGTTTGGTTTATGTTAATTTGGAATCATTTGTGTACACTATTTCAATCAAAAGTCAACTATTATATGTGAAAATTTTTCCATGCGACCATTGACAATACCAAAATGGTAGATTGAGAGATTAGATGCGACTCCCACGCAGCAAGACGCTCTATGGTTGAGTGGAGCAAGTTGATCAACAAGCCACCCCCATTATTCCCAAATACTCTAACTTGTCTCTTCGTCGGCATCTTGGGCTGTCTGTTTGCGACGGGCAGCCTCCTTCCCAGCAAAGCTGAACAGCATGCCAAGATCATAGATCACTTTCAAGCATCCTGCAATGATGAAGGATACACCGAAATAGCCATTGCGCGACAGGATACCCGTCAACAAGGGGCCCATACTCTGGGCAGTAGTCTTGACAACATTCACCGATCCCATGATAGCAGTTCGCTTGTCTGCCGGCAGAGCCGCAGCAAGGAATGCGGAACGAGGCGCCACATCCATGTTCTGGGAGCAAGCTCGCATAACCAAGAAGGTCAGTGCCAGAGGCAAGCTAGATGGGACGGAGATAAGAGCCAGGCAGATTGCCGACGGCAAATGGGTGAATACCATAGTCTATTAACAATTTAGAAGTCGCTCAGCTGCTCGAGTAAGAATATCTTACCTTGACATTACCAATTCGTTTGGCGAGGGACGAGGCGACTAGCATGGATACTGCGGAGATGATGTTTGTCGTAAAGAAGATGGTACCGAGTTCACCTTCAGGTAGATTGAACTTGCCCTTGAAGAAATAGGTCATCCAGGACCTGACAAATTAGCATTGCAGCCGACGAGAGTTGGGATCGCACTCACAGTGAAGCCAATCCAGACGCAAATGAGTCCAATCCAAATAGGATGAAGAGACGGATAACCAGCGACCACAGGTCCTTTTCGATAGACGGAAACAGTCCCTTCTTCTTCGGGGTCGGCTCGACATTCCGCTCGACTGGCTCTGTCAGCAGCGGTTGGGTTTCGGAGCTCTGCTCCTGTGGCTCTTCTTTCTGGACCTCGACCTTGCCACTCAGACCCAAAGTGAAGATTAGCTTGACGACTCCAACGCCGGCATAGACGAAGAAGATGATGCGACAGGCGGGAATGAAGGCCCATCCATGAATTGACTCAAGAGAGTTGATGATCCAACCACAGACAAGCATGCCTGTGGCCGAGCCAGCAGTTCCAATTAAGGAATACCAAGCAAAAACATCACTCAAAAGCTCATGCGGTGTGAGATGAGCCAAAGTGGATTCCTCGATGGCGCGGAACGGACCAATTTCGTTTCCACTAAGAAATTAGGTTAGATAAAAATAGAAAGGAAAAAAAGGAGGACAAAAGACGAACCTCGGACTGATGACACCAAAGACTGCAGCTGCCAGTAAAATCCAGAAATTCCCAAACAGCGCGAAAATGACTCCGCTGCCAGCCATAAGGATGGAACCGAGCGACAACACCGCCTTGCGACCCATAGAATCGGCAAATAGTGTGAGGAAGAAGCTAATCACCACATCTCCAACCAACGTAAGTGTCATAAACAAGCCAATGCGATCATCTGAAATGCCCATGGCGGACAGATATGATGCCAAAATCAAGGTTGATCCGCCATACGCGAAGAGGCGCACGAAGCGTTGTGCACAGAGAAGCTTCACGTCGAGCGACGACCGCCACATTGTGATTAAGCCCAGCTCATTGAGAACATGGCCCATGTAGCGCGCCGGTCGCGATTGATTCTCCATGGTTGGATTATCGGATGGTTTGAAGAAAGAAAGTTGAAACGCGGGTCCCCAATCACCTCATAACTCCGACCTCGGGGATAAATAAGTCGGAGTTCGTGCCGGTGCTAAGCTTTTTTTAGGAGATCTCTATTTTTGGATATAAAAACAAATTTATTATGTACAAATATTCTCAATTACAGCTATCATTCAGTCTTGGGAGGCCATTTCACTCGGCGTTCCGCCCGCACATACAGGTTAGTAGGACGGATCAACTGGAACATGGGATCATACTCGACTGCCCCATCATTCTCTCTCGTGAACTTGTACCGGTACAACAACTTGGGTAAGAACACTTTGACTTCCTGCAAGGCAAAGTTGAACCCAATGCACATACGCGGTCCAGCAGCAAAGGGAATATACGCGGTCTTATGGCGGTTCCTGACTTCCGCGGTATCCCAACGATCGGGGTCAAACCGTGCTGGGTTAGACCAGACCGCTGGATTGTTGTGTATGTGATGAAGGGCAGGGATAACGATGGAATCTTCGGGGAGCTTGTATCCACCTGGAAGAATCATGTCGACTTTGGCTGTGCGCGCAGGCTGGTATGAGGGGTTATGACGGCGCTGGGTTTCTTTGATGAATTTATCCAAGAACGTCAACCGATCCGTCAGATCTGCGGTCATCGGGGTATCGGCGTCGATGTCGTTGTCAATTAGCTCTTGTAGGAGTCTCTCCTGCATGCCAGGGTAGTTGACTATCGAATAGAGCAGCCACGATAACAGTGAGCTAGTGGTCGTAAAACCAGCTCCGGTGGCTACTACTAGTGCCTCCATCAGACTTGTCTTGGGCAATTTCTCGCCCTTGTTATCGGTGGCGCGAATAATATAATCTGCCGAAATGTTAGCTCGGGCTTTCCAGCGTCGGGTTACTGCACATACCAATCATGTTAGAGGCCTTCAATGCAGCATCCTGCAACGGGAGATCCTCGACGCCGTTGCGAGAAGCATTTTGAATTGACTCATTGACCATCTCAATGATACGATAGCGAGCGTCCCGTAGTCGTTGGGGGTCACCGAAAGGCAACTTGGCATACCAATCACCACGAGCGGTCACCTTCTTGTTCAGCTCCAATGACTCGGCAATTCGGTAGACAAGTTCATGAGGTGGCGCATCCACGGCCGAGAAATGCTTGAAGTCCATACCGAGAACCAGCTTACCCACGGCCTGCGCACCGAGCTTGAGCATATACGGGTAGACGTTCCAAGCCTCGCCGCGTTCGTCTAGCTCGTCGAACACACTAAATGCATCCTCGACGGTTGCTTGCATGGTGGGAGCGTAATGGCGCACTGCTTTCGGCCCCAGTGCTGGGGGGAGGAACTTGTGTGCCGCGCGCCATTCAGGTGTATCAGTGTCACCCAAAAACACACCGGCCTGTTGGTTCTTAATCGGGTATAAAGGGTGTGCCTCGTTGATTTTCTTAGTAAAGAAATCAGATTCAGAAAAAACAATGGCCGATAGCTCGGGGTCATTTGTGTGGTAGACTGTCCGGCCCATGTTGGTGGTTTGAATGATGGGTCCATATTGGTCAAATAGACGCTGGTGGTTTCCTAGGTGATCGGGGTAGATCTCGAAGAAGTTTCCCACGAATGGCAGGCCCTTAGGGCCAGGAATCTCCCGTACTGCCTTGCCATCTATCGAGATAGCGATGGGCTGTTCGTTGGCAAGGATCTCCGTGGGAGTGGACAACACCGAGTCCTCTGACTGGAATCCGATTCCTAACTCAAGAGTTAGAGTGATATCAAGGGAAATGAGATAAAATCTTACCATTTGGCTCAACGATAGCAAATTGACTAGCAATGAGGAGCTGAAGGCCCTGGTAGTCGATTGTTGTCTCTACCTCAATTGGGCGAGCTGAGGTGACAGCCTCGCCCAGCAGGTAGAAATGTTTGGCAACCATTGTGAGATGGGAACAAAAAATTATGATCCTTCCTCTCTTAAAGGGCCCGCTCACATTTATAACAATCTAATTATCTGAGCCATTTGAAACTACATAGTTGACTCCACTATTCAAAGCGTGTCCCGATTTTTTTTCATTTCATGATAGATGCATAACTCTAAAAGCCTCGGTTCAAAATATTTCTCTCAATGATCCAGACAAGATCCACAGATTGCAGAAATAGTGAACGTTTCAAACAGCCCGTGCAGCCCGTCTCAAGACGGCCCCACCGAGAAGATAAAGGTTTTTTTTTTTTTTCGAGATGCCGAGGCATTTTGAATTCCGGCTTGCTCATAGGCTAGTTTTATGTATACATTAAAATTGCTGAGTGGGTAATTGCGATAATTGCGAGATTTGCGAGATTTGCGAGGATTTTATATTTTAGTACTTTTTGGGATATTAAATCAAGACTCCGTCCTTTTGGTTTTTGCAAATCATTCATTCACAATGTCTGTTCCAGAAACAAAAGAACTGAAGGCTCAGTGGAAGGCAGATGTCGAGCTGCCAGAGTATACATTGAAAGATGTGGCAGCACATAACACTAAGGGTGATATCTGGATGATCATCCACGGACAAGGTATGTAACAACCTTTTTTAAGAGAATCGTAAAGACGAGACTAACATTGCAACAGTCTTTGATCTCACAGAATATCTGCAAGATCATCCAGGTGGTGCAGACGCTCTCATCGAGGTAGCCGGCACAGATGCTACAGCAGACTATGAGGATGTTGGGCATTCTGAAGATGCCCGCGAGATCATGCAGCCATTCCTGGTGGGCACTTTGAAGGATGCCCAGCAGTACGTCCGTCCGAAGGCAGTTCGCGTGATCTCCCAGAAAGCACCTGAAGAGGCCCGTTCTGCGTCAGGGGCCATCAAAACGATCGCTTACGCTCTGGGTGGACTGATCCCAGTCTTCTACATCTTCAGCCGAAACAATAATCTCACAAACAGTCTGAGAATCATCTCCCAACTGATTCCTCATCCACTGAAAAACCTACGACTGCCTCATGGAGGCTTCGTCAACGGCTTTTTGGCTGCTTCCGCTATCGCCACGGCTGTGGGGGTAATGGTAGCGCGACAGGCGAGCAGATTCACCAAGATCGACTCTGGGTTTATGCGCTTCCCACCCCATATGAAGGCAAAGAAAATGATTCGTGTCGATCCACACCTAACACGCGGTTTCCTCGAACCGCAACAATATCAACGCCTGCCACTCGTTGAAAAGACCGAACTAGCAACGAATGTCTACCGGTTCGTCTTTGCCCTGCCAACCGCCACGGGTGTGTTAGGTCTGCCCATTGGTCAACACGTCGCTATTAGAGCCACTGTCGATGGAACCACCGTCACTCGCTCATACACTCCTACCTCGAACAACATCGACCGGGGCCGCATTGAACTCGTGATCAAATGCTATCCCGACGGTCTGTTGAGTGGGAAGTACCTGGCCGGCTTGACTGTGGGCGATGAAGTCGAATTTCGCGGGCCCAAGGGCTCTATGCGTTACACAAAAGGTCTTTGCCGCAAGATCGGTATGGTGGCTGGTGGTACAGGCATCACACCCATGTACCAGCTTATCCGGGCAATCTGTGAGAACGACACCGACATGACAGAAGTTAGTCTGGTGTACGCGAACCGCAGCGAATCTGACATTCTCTTGCGCGAGGAGCTTGAACGGTTCGCGCGCCAATACCCAAAGAACTTCAAGCTGTGGTATATGCTGGACACTGCGCCGGAGGGCTGGACCTATGGATCTGGGTACGTAGACCAGACGGTTCTGGCGGAGCAGCTCCCTGCGCCATCGCCAGACACTAAGGTGATGCTATGTGGGCCGCCCGGAATGGTCAATGCCACTAAGAAGAATTTGGTTGCGCTAGGCTTTGCCAAGCCAGGGGTGGTGGCGAAGATGACGGACCAGATTTTCTGTTTCTAGAAATTTGCCTAATATAGTAATAGCCGAGGTTTCGAATGGAGAATCGTTAAAAGTCAAGAGTTAGTTTTGTTGAGTTGATGAGATCGGCCGGCCCTATTGCCAAATGCGTTTTCGTGTCCGACGCCGAAATGAAGAAAATCAACTCCGAGAAACTCCAATCCCCGAATTTCCTGATCCCGAGACTTTGACTGGTTGGAGCTTATCTAGGTAAAAGCGCCGATTCAACGGTAAACTTAATGTACACAAAGATTATGTCTGGCTTAAGGGGGGTCCCGAATTATGCACGATACATTACAGCGCCTTGATATGCAGCTTCCATGGGATAACTGCTACCCATGATCCAGTTTCCCCCTGAATTCCTTGCGTCCTCCATATCGTCATATATTATTCCCCCTATGTTGACATAGTTCTAGAATCTAGAGATCTTACACTTTATCACCCTACTGGTATCCACTGTTCCTCGCCTAGGTCCGACCTCGTTAAATATCTTCTGGACGCAGGTTCGGGCCCAGATTTTGAGAGTAGACATGGACAAACACCTATGCATTTAGCGGCGAAAAATCGTCTACCAAGAACTCGCACTTTCGTGATATAACCTAGAGACGTACTTCCTATAATCGGAAAAATACTTCTCCAACCTATCAATAATAATCTTCTATGTTGTTGCTATAGATCAGGATATCGTCTGGGAGATGTCTCGGCCATTACCATAAAACTTAAGACCTCTTATTCGGCGTCATGTAGGGCCAAGGTCGCCAATCTATATAGACTGAATTGTCAAGGGCATTGGTACCCTTGATTCTTCAGAAAACCACGGTTTCAGTATCTCAAAACCGTGGTCCTTGTGTTTTATCTACATATTGTTGCTTTAAGAGATTATACAGCGTCCTTCTATGGCATATCCTGATTTGTCACTTGTGTCTTCTTACCCATTTGGATGATGTATTAGTCAATAAACATACGTTCGAAAGTCACCAATTATTCACCAAGTGTTGCGAGGATAACCTAAAAAGTCTGTATCTGCTAGCAGCACCTCGCTGGGTGGCTAGGGACGGGCCGCAGGATTCTTCAAGTTTTTGAAATGGTTCAAGATCACCATCAACGAGATCTTCACAGATGAAGAGAAAAGGACGGTCACGATGCTTTGTAGCAGCAAGGGCGACTTAGAAGCTGCTCCATATCGCACTGACTTTGTCTTCGTGCTTCCATGACGGAGGATGGAAAAAAATCAAGAAGCTGTCGGAGTGGCCGGATTTTCACAAGGTGCAGATGGTACTCAGCAAAACCCTAGAGTAACTAGAGTATTGCTAGCCTCTGATTTTCGGGCTAGATGCTGTTTGTTTGTGGGTAGTCAAGGCTTCTCCTTCCTTCCTCTCTGTTGGCCGGAATACTGATCGCCTTGACTGCGCTTTCTGTTTCCAGTCGTCGATTCGCTCTGAGATATTCTGAGACTCCATCGGATAATCTTCTGATGATTGTTTGATGACGCCATTGACTGGTTGGAGTCTCATCTACCTAGAGGTAGGCAGAAATTGCAGGTTCAGGGGAATGTGTACTCCGTATGATGGTATAAATTAATGTACATAAAGACCATGTCTGGCTATGCGGGAAAGATCAAAATGAATAGATATAGCCTGCCTCTCTCAAATATTCCAAATTCCCATCTTGAATTGCGGACACTCCCATCAATGCGTATTATCAATCTTCGCGCCGTTTGTGTTTGCTTCGCCTATGTCTCCGACGCTTCTTCACCCTCGGCGGTTTCTCTCGTTCTCGAATCATGAAGCGAACTGGCCGTCCCAATCTCCCTTCTCTCGTCTGCAGCCCAGTCCGCAAGCTCATTTCCGTTGTTATTCTCACAAGAGGTGTAATAATCGGCTTGGCGTCCTTCGAGCCTGAGTATCGAGGAAAATATCGTGGAAGATCAGACGATATGGTGACAGATTTCTTTTTGCTTGCCAGTTTATCATCAGTGGGAGCGGGGTCTGAAGGTGTCGGATCTGAAGCTTCAGGATCTTTCGGGCCAAGTGGGAGTTTGGCCGATCGTGTACTCGACATCCCCCACTGCAACCGACATACATATAAATAGTATAAGAGCAGCAGAAGGGCCACAATTCCGAGAATAGACCCCGCTATTGCGCCCTTCTTTCCGTCTGATAGTTCTCTGCTTTCAATTGAATGGGGACTCTCAGGCGCAGCAGTTGGTCCTGTATCGATGACCCGAATGACAGTCGTGTATGGATTCACTGCTGTGTATGTAACCAAATTCAAGGTTGGCCACGGCTTGGTATTCTCCCGAGTAACAACATTCACAAAAGTGGTGCCGTCTTCGATAAGCGTCCGGGTGACCTCGCGGATCGCAGGTGCCATTGCGCGCACACATTGCTCGCAAACACAAATTGAACTGGCATGATGGGCGCTGGTTTAAGTGTCCATGGCAGCTTCACTTATTTCGCTCGCGCCACTAACACGTAGTGTATGCAGGAGCGGATCAAACGGGTCTTCTAATTTATGTGATAAAGCAATCGAATTGATAACAGTCGTATCTTCTGACTTAGTTATGCAGCTTACGCTGCACAGTTACAGGAATATCAAGGCAATTGGTGGAATGGCCTGCACGCTAGAAATGTGAGGCCAGCTCACTGGATCTTGGCGCGGGGATTCTTTGAGCACGGAATGAAGACGAACACCAATTTGGGTTCTTTTCCCACAAATTCTGACAGGGGTTCTCATGTTGCCTGGTTTTTTACCAAGGTGTCGACCCACGGATGTTCGTTAGACAGGCATGCAGCTTTATCTCGAATCAATTGCTGCCCAAAAAGAATGGGCGCCGGTGTATGGTCGCCTCGCCCCGAACGAAATATCCGGGCACAACTCTCTCATTGGACCTCGGAATAATAATTGCCCAGTAATTTAGTCATCCCTAAAGTACTTGCAATTACCTGGTCTTTCTCGATGGCCCCATGGGGAAATTCTCAATCTCAACAGGATCTTGCCTTGCAATACGATAAAGTTACAGTCTACCTCTCTCCCATCGCAATACTCTTCAATCAGAACATAGATCTGCCATCCAGATTTGGAAATCTCCCGGGTCCTGTAATCCGGCAAGACTTATTTTTGACCACATCAGACAAGCAAATCCTCGCGCCTTGCCCAGGCTTCACAATGATCGAGTTAAGATTCTGTTCGTTGCAGGCCGTACTGGGGTGACTGAACATGGTGCGAGAGAAATCCAAGTCCATATCCCGAATGAAGCTAGGCAGAACCTGGTTGTCCCAAATATGGTAATGACTATCATTCTCCTTGTCGGAGATATAGACTTTATGGAGCCATTTGACACAACGACCACCGACGAAACCAGGGATTGTTAAACGCACTGGATAACTGTGGTCTGGTGGCAATCGCATATTGTTCATTTCATAGGCCAAGATGACGTCGTTATCAGAGTCCATGGCATATGCTAATGGTATTGATGTCGCATACTTGCCTTCGCTGAGCGTGGCTGCGCCTTCAGAACGGACCCAACGCCGACCTTTTCTGAGACAAGGATCAGGGACCTAGATTCCTACGTCAAGAAGCAAGTCTCGTAGGAGCGACCCTTGCCAAAATGCGCAGCTAAAAGCTCCAGCACCCCAATTGAAACCTTCGGGCGTGTGTAGTGCGGCATGGTTGTCATAGTGGAACCCGATGGACGACTTCCTGTGGTACTTTTGGAATCCAGGAAGTTGGTTCACAACAATCGCTGTGGCAGTCTCAAGCAAATGACAAGGTACTTCGTGTTATTACGGATTAAGAACACACTCATTCCTTGCTTCTGGTTGTGGATAAACTCCCACTTTTCTGGCCTAGCTCTAGAAGGAAAAACTACCAAGTATAATACTTAGCGGACGGCCTAGCTTCGCATCTGATATATCTATATCTATGTCACAAGTCGGAGAAGGACTGGTAGCTCACCAGTTATTATATCGACACATCTAGTTAGAAATACCTATGGCTACATAGGTCTATAGCTCGGCACATCCTAATGCCCTATAGTTAGGAGGTTTTAGGCGTAGCCCATCCTTCGCTAGACGTTAAACAATACAACAAAAAACACCCCTATGCCTAGGTATATCTAGATAAAAATCTATTATATGTTAGATGTAATTTATAGAAAGATAAGGTGACGAATAGATAGATTACAGTTCTAGCGTGTTTTTCCCGCAAACTCTAACAGGGGTTCTCATGTTGCCTGGTTCCAAGGTGTCGACCCTCGGATATTCATGAGACAGGCACGCAGCTTTATCTCGAATTGCTGCCCAAGAAGAACGAGCACAGGTGTATGGTCGCCTCGCTCTGCACAGATGAACGCATTTGATACTCGATACACCAGCCTCGGCACTTCGACCGTCATAGCTCACTCACAGTATGTACTAGTATTGAAGATATGTGGTATAAAACCCTTATAAATTTACAGCTTCGCCCGTGCAGGGGCAAAATTTGATCCAGTGCCCTGGCTAATAGCGTCAACGATAGCATCAACACTATTCAAAATCCACGTATTCCCCTCATCACTAGCCAACCACCGCGCAGCCTCTTCCCCCTCCACATCATTCACCCACGAACCATCCTCAAGCGCCTTCCGCAACCCAAACACATGCGAGATGACCTGGGGCCCAACACCAGACTGAGCGCGCAAGCATGCGACAGCAACAATAGACGTCAGGATACGCCCGGCAGACGCGCCAGTGCTACGCTCCGGATCAGACAACAGGGCGCCGTAGTTGCTGTGCAGGATGTGCACCGGCAGGTCGGGGTGTGAGTCGGCCAGTTTATTGTATAGCTTCTTCTCGAATGGTTGGTAGATGGAATTCCAGAGCGCGTTGCCGCGCTCACTGATTGCGGCAATGTTCTCCGGGGTTGGTGCGCGGGTGGGGGTGCGGGAGAGCTGGTCGCTGACTGAGTCTGGGAGGCTGGCTTTGAAGGCGTTGAGGCAGTTTATGGTGCGTGGGATGCCGTTGAAACTGATGCATTTTAGTCCGACCTCGCGCATGAGCTCGGCGGTCTGCACTTGCTTGTCGGAGTTGGTGCTGGCTAGTTCGTAGAGGGCGGCGAGGGACTCTGGGGAGTTCATGGTTATTGTTGCTGCGGTCTGGCATTGGGGTTAGATCGTGTTCAGTATTAACTGAAAGGTTTTGACTCACTGATAGTGCGACCCATGATGGCTGCGAGATATGTTTGGATTGCGCGGTCTGTTGGATCTTCTGGTAGACCGAGGTTATGTTTGCTGGCGCCGGAACGGTGGATGGCCGGGCAGCAGGAGCATTGATTAATGCCTTGAGGCTAGGTGAAAGTCGGGACATGTTGGATGATGAGCTCTTGTGCCCTGAGTGTGGGTGTTTTGCCATTAAAGATTGTTGACCAATTCTCTTTCCGGGTCTCGGGAGATTTTGGGGCTATCGGAGCTCAGAAGTGAGCACCGAAGATACCGGGAGGGGGCAGTAATATGACAGTAATATGAGCAAAGTACTCTTGTAATATTACCGGTGGAGCACAAGTGAAAATCCGGGGATCGCGGGGAAATAGAGCACCCGGACGCGAACTTGGGAAGGCCCTGCCATTGGTCTAAATCTGCGGCTGGAGAGAAGCTCGGACCCAGAAATGCCAGCCGAAGGGGCTACCTGCTTGTGTCTATTTCTTTCGATTACAATCCCCTTTCCCCATCCCATGCTGCGATAGATAAGAGACCCAGAATCAGGTCCTACGTCGCAACAATTTACAGAAGTCACCATGGACCCAGCCAAGTCAAGAGCGTCAGAGCTCGAAGAGGCCAAGTCCTCTCCCCTTGATCAACATGGCGACCTCGCACATCGACAGAAATTGACACGGAATGTGTTGTGGAAGCTGGATATACAGTCAGTTCGAACACCACACTATAATCACCACGCGCTTGCTAATACTTTCCAGTATTCTTCCCATACTAGCGCTGCTTTTCCTCATGTCATTTTTGGACAGGACCAATGTCGGCAACGCGAAGATTCTCGGTTTAGAAGCAGACCTTTCTATCACAGACCATCAGTATGATATCGGTCTGGCTGTGTTCTATCTCACCTACATCTGCAGGTGCGTTATGTATCATTAGATGAAAACGCCAAACGCTAACTGATATGAAAGCGAGCTGCCGAGTAACCTTGTGCTGAAGAAAGCATCGCCGAAGATTTGGCTCCCGTTCTTGACAGCTATTTGGGGTATCATTACCATGTGTCTAGGATTTGTACAGAATTTTGCTGGATTCGTCGCTGTCCGGGCTTTGTTGGGCATTGCGGAGGGAGGTCTTCTTCCCGGCATGGTATGTTTGCAAGAGAACTGACACTGGCCATAACTAACAGAGAGAAAAGGTTTTATATCTATCTTCTTTCTATAGACGAGGGGATTTGGCGCTGCGGATTGGATTGTTCTACACAGCTGCTTCCCTATCGGGCGCATTTGGAGGTATGTATGTATCGGTTTCTTTTTCAGCAGATGCTAACAAAAGTAGGACTCCTTGCTCGTGGACTAGCCGAGATCGGGCCTCGGGGAGGCATAGAAGGTTGGCGCTGGATTTTGATTATCGAGGGACTTTTAGTACGTGAAGACGATATTCAAACAAAGAGTCTGTCTGACAGTTAGTCAGACATTTGTCTGTGGGGTGTTTAGTTTCTTCGCCCTTCCGAATAGCTTGGAGTCTGCATCATTTTTGACTACAGAGGAAAAAGAATTTGGGGGGAAACGGCTGAGGCTTGATAGTCCCGGATCACCGGAAGCGTAAGCTTTTGCGACCTGCGGGATAAAAGCTTGGCTAACTCAAAACAGGTCGCCTGAGGCAGAATCGTTCCAATGGTCCGAAGTGCGCCGAGGTGTGCTGGATCTTCAAGTGTGGCTCTCTGCCTCGGCGTATTTTGCCATTCTCGCCGGACTATACTCGTTTGGATTGTTTGTGGGTTTCCCTATCTCTATCTCTATCTCAAAGTCACTGACGGTTTCTAGCTGCCAACAATTATCAAAAACCTCAATTTCGCTAAAGATGCCAACGAGGTTCAGTTGTGGTCGGTGATACCTTATGCTGTCGCAGCCGTACTTACAGGTCCGTCTCCTCTTTGACCAATCTCATCAAATGCTCACCCATTTTCAGTCGTTGTTGCCGTCATCTCTGATCGCCTCCGGCTCCGAGGCGTGGTGATGCTCTTTACTCTCCCAATCGCTATCATTGGATATGCAGCCATCGCCAATATTGACTCCCCTCGTGTTCAATATGGTATGACTTTCCTCATGGCAACTGGTCAATACGCCAGTGTACCGTGCATCCTGGTGTGGTTGTCGAACAACTCTGCGGGACATTACAAAAGAGCCACTACGTCAGCGTTGCAGCTGGCAATTGCAAATGCCGGAGGATTTGTTTCGAGTAAGTTGCCCACCTACGGATTCTTGTTTGTGGATGCAGATCTCTAACATTAGTGCTCTAGCTTTCAACTATCCAGCTCGAGATGGACCCCTCTTCCACCGTGGACATACCATTATCCTTGGGCTGTTAGTATTTGCATGGTTTATGTGAGTATGCCTATCATTGATTGCAGAGCTATGGCTGATTTACATAGGATTCTGCTCAATGTGCTCTACTGCGCAAAGATCAATCGAGACAAAAGGAATGGTAAGTATGATCAATACGCAGGGTTTAATGACGACCGTAATCCGGAGTTTATGATGGTCCTATGAGTGATGACCAAGGCACCTAGTCGACCCAATTGACCTCTACAAAGACACTGATTTCGGTTTCTCGATGGTAATCATGGCAAGCCTAGTTGTTTTTTAGAATTCAATATTATTCTACACAAATCATGTTGTAGCTACCAAACCCACCAGTGCTGAGACTTCCAGTCTTGCTTAGTTGCACCACGCAAATCATCTGTATTTATCACATCCACATCCTCACGCACAAGTACACTCCAAACATGATTCCGTAGTCCCACCGGCCAGGTGGGAGTTCCCCAATACCGTACCTTCAACCCCAACTCATGAGCTGCATGTACTTGGCTCTGGAGCCTAGCGATCTGAGCATGCGATAGACGGCCAAGGGAGAGAGACCCGATAGCCGCGCGGAAGTCTGCTGATGCATAATAGCTGTTGGATGGGTTATAGGTGGAATCCACTGGGTTTTTATCATCTGTCGCTAATTCGGTCGGAAATGTCAAGTTGTCAAGGGGTGCATCATAGAAGATGTCGCGGTAGGCCGCATCCTCCATCAACAGGTGAAGAGGCGCATCTCCGCTAGCAACGACAGTAATCGGGCCGTATACAACATCGGAACCATTGAAGTGAGTCAGGTAGCCCTTTTCACGAAACGGACTCAGCTGTTCGACAAGTAGAGGCCAGAGCTGCTCGCCGTCGTTTTTGAAATCAATCATTAAAGCCAGAGTCTGCTTTGGGTCGTTGGAAAACACCCCAATCATCTCCTGATCCATGACTTTCGGCCAGTGGCGAGAAGGAGGCTCATTGTGTGTGTCGAGCATCTTCAGCAGGGGATCAAAATAGAGGCTCTGCAATGTTCCCCGGAGGACTGTCTGACGTGAATAGCCGACTAGAATGTCATTTCCCCATGGCCAAGCGTCCACCTCGATGCTGGTGCATCCTGCACGAAGTGCCGAGCGTAGTGGAACACGGCGCCAGTAGTCGTTGTGCGAGTGGCATGGTATGGGGGTGACACCGTGCGTAAACCAGTTGGAAAACCTAGAGGGGTGTTCACCGGGGAAAACACCCAATGCGCGATCGTGTCGAAAGACATCACCAAGGTATTGTGTTGCAACAGCGAGGAGGTTGAGGACACCACTGTAGAACACTGTTAGTTCATCACATGTGGAAGAGTACGATCAGCCAAGAGTAGCCGGTACACACAGAATAAAAATCAGTGCCCAAAGAGGTCGTCGCACTATTCGGCAGTATAAGGCTCTCTTGGCGTATGGGTATGCAATACAACCCGGGTGCGAGCATTTCCAAATTGAGAAAGAGGCTTTAGGCTGAGGGTTCATTATCTCGGAAAGAAGAATTGCTTCATTCTCTGGGATTGACTCCAGGGTGGATGGATGAAATACCATAATGAAATGGAGGAAAAGTTCCAAGGGCTGGGCACTGTAAGCTTAATTTATCGGGTGAGCTTGTTTTTTTAGCTGCCTACGGTGGAAAACACGTCTGCCTAGTCATAGGGTTGGATAAATAAGGAAGAAATAGACGAGATGTTGGCCAGTTAAAAGTTCTTTGTTCAACTATTACCATCTTCGGCGTCGATAATTCTTTATTCCATAATCTCAAGGGTATCGGCAATTTGAAACTTGGCATCCGTCTTCAATTGCACCTCTTCCACCTCAACTCCCGGAGCAAGTTCCGTCAGTGTGAGCTCTCCGGTACCCCGATCCACCTGGAAGACACACTATACTGGTGTCAGTTTTTTTTCAATCAACTAGGCTCTTCACACTTACCAGATCTGTGATGATAGTGCTGACAACATTGGCGCCAGTCAATGGCAGACTACATTTTTGCACAATCTTGGGAGAACCATCCTTGGCGACATGACTCGTGGCCACCACGATCTTGGTCTTGTCTGGGTTCGAGATTAAATCCATTGCGCCTCCCATGCCCTTGAACACCTTCCCTGGGATCATATAGTTGGCCAGATCCCCGTTGGCACTCACTTGCAGAGCGCCGAGAATAGACACATCCACATGACCTCCGCGAATCATGCCAAAGGATTCGGTGCTGTCGAATGTAGCGGCTCCAGGGACCAAGGTCACGGTTTCTTTTCCGGCATTAATGATATCGCTGATCTGAGTTAGCGATAGTTCGGGTTATCAGAACTGGGAACAACGTACGGGTCCAATTCTTGCTCAGTGGGATAATCACCCTAAATCATGTTAGACCAGCCCATGGAAATGATTTAGAAACTTACCATTCCCAGGATACCATTCTCTGACTGAATCCACACCTTCACATCTTTTGGCAGGAATGACGGTGCCAACGTGGGAATACCAACCCCCAGATTCACATAGAATCCCGGCTTAAGCTCCTTGGCCGCCCGACGACCGATTAGTTCTCTTTGGATCTGAGCCGCATCTTTAGCAGACCCAGTGGCAGTGGCCTCGCCCGACCGCAACTTCCTGATTTCAATGTGTTTATCGTCCGTGGCAGGAACGATCCGATCCACAAAGATACCTGGTAGGTCCACATCATTGGGATCAATGGAGCCAACTGGGACAATATTCTCCGCCTCCACAATGGTCAGGGTTGCGGCCTTGGCCATGATAGGGCCAAATGCTTTGGTAGTATATCTAACCAATGTCAGTATCCAGCTTCTGGAACGTACTGGTAGGTACATCTACTTACCGGAATACGCAGTTACCAGCCTCATCCGCTTTCCAGGCTCTGAGAATTGCTACATCTCCAGTCAAAGCTTCTTCCATGAGGTATGTCTTGCCGTTGAATTCCCGGGTCTCGCGCGGCTTGCCAGTCTCCAGTACTTTACCTGACTCATCCATGCGAACAGGAATTTTTCCCTCCTGAATAAAGGTGTCTTCAGTTGTCAGCGACAAACATAGTCTGGGGAGAATCTATACATACGGGCTCCCGTTGGGGTAAAGAAAGCCGGAATCCCAGCACCTCCAGCTCGGAGACGTTCAGCCAAAGTACCTTGCGGACAAAGTTCAATAGCAATATGTCCCGTCAAATATTTCTTTTCCAACGCTTTATTGTTCCCGAGGTATGAAAGGATCAGACGGTTGATCTGGCCATTCTGTGAGAGTGTCGAAAGGCCTCCCTTGCCCGCGGAGCCGGCATTATTCGAAACAGCTGTCAGGGAGTGTAATTGGTCAGCACCTCGGCGGTGCATAGCATTAATGAGAGTTTCTATACTGTGTATTAGCTCCGCTCTCGCGCTGCTTAGCCGTCCACGTACCTGCAACTCCGCAAAGACCGAACCCAGAGCTAAGGACTGTCGATCCACTCTTGATGTCGGCGACAGCGGCATCAGCATCTTTAAAGACCTTTGAGCCGCCACGCTCAATCTTAGGAGCGAAAGATTGTAATGGCGCGGTTATGGAGTATCTAGTGCTGGTGCTGGTGCTGAATGGTTGCGAGGGACGCACGCTGGCGCGGACTCCGAGGAAGACTCGAGGTCGACAGGCAGTGAGCGCTTTGCGCGACAAGGTAGTAGAAACTCTTAGAGCTGCCATGTTTCATAATTGTTTACATCAGGGAAAAAAAACAAGAAAAAAACTGAAATCATTGCGCAGTTAAAAACATTGATGGCATCGGTTAGTCGGAGCTACTTCTGGATGCCGAGCGGCCACATTCGGAAACCCTCCGAGCTCAACGTGATCTTCTAAATCTTCTACTAACATGCTCTTCTATGAATCTCAGGTTAAATTTCACGGCTTCGCCTAAACAACTGGAACGCTCTAGGGCTTGGTCCTTTTGGAAGAAAAATCTTTGAATATGCCAATCACCTCGTATAAACCTCAAATAGAACCACCAAATATGACAGATATCAACAAAAGAATCCTTAATCAACCCGTCAACTGCTTCTTAACCCGACTCAACTTCCCCTTAATACCCCCAAATTTCTTCCGACCATCACTCGGCTCTATCAAAGTATCCGCATCAGAAACCATTGAGGACCTGGGCGTATCGCTACCATCCTTTGACCTCCCCGGTTTAGACTCAAGCTCTTTTGGTTGGTTTGTAGGTAGCAGTGTAACTTCCGACGCCGTATCATCACCCTTTTGGTGATTTTTTTCGGCTTCTCTTTGCCCTGCTTGCTCACGGCGTATACGCTCGCGTCCGCGGCGGGCAGCAGCTTCGATGCCCCTTTCCCCTAACATCGCAGTTCCAGCTGGACCGGGAGCCAAGGCGCTCCAGTCGAGAACCATGGCGGTGTTTGTTATGGGTGTTATGGGTGTTCTGGGTGTTTGTACGTTTCAACCGTGGCTTATATATCAATTGATCAATGTGTATGGAAGACACATCGATATTGCTGGAGGCGTGAGTCCTTTGATATGCGTTAGAGAAAATATCTCAAGGGCGATGACGTTGGCCAAGATGGCCCCCAGTGCTAGTAGGATGATCTTCGTGACTGTCTTGCACATCGTGTGGTTTTTGGCCACAGGTCTTGGCGAATTATAACTTGACGTTTTCTTGTATTGCTACTGCCGGGGTACATTGAGGCCTGTGGCGCAGGGATCTGCATCAACCTTGGGGCAATCAGCGTATTGCATTTGGTATGCTAGACGAAAGGGTATGAAGATAATTCTGGGCGATACGCGCAAGCTGGTAATAAGGATATGTTCAAACGAGATGTGATCGAATAAATACAAGAAAAATAAACACTGGGGTATACAAATATCCGCCTCCTGGTCCTACTAAAAATTGAAATCCGGGTTGGCAAAGTCAAGCCAATCCCAATTAAGCATGTCATCAAGAGGCACATCCGGGATCGACGCACCAAACGCGGTGCCCGCTCGGTTGACTGCATCGACGATCTGATTATCAGACATGGTAGAGAATTGCAATGGCTCGGACCAGAAATCCTCGGGTGGTAGTGTTACTGGCAGCGCACCATGGTCCAGATATGCAGACGGAAACGCCGGCTCAGGTGGATCGATTTTGGTTGGATTTCCTCGGGGTTGTAAAGGCAAGGCAGGTGCACGTCGGATCAACTCACGCAAGAATCTCCCGTAAAGCACAGAGGCGCCGCTTCGATGACTTGGTGTTGCTCCAATTCTCTCTAAGACACCGGCAGTCTCTTCGATGAGATTTCGGACGCTTGGTGCCAGACTAGATCTACTGTCGCCAGGTGTCACGCTGAGGCTGAGAGCAGAGCATGCGGCAAAGGAGATCATTATGACGGTATTGTTTGGCATTGATTTCAGTCGAGATTCACCTTGGATGGCTGCTCGCAGAACGTTCAATGCAGACGATAGGCCAGCGGCTCGGAAGAAACGTTTGACTTCGATTGGAGCTGTTGGGTGGTTGATAACACCACCGTAGGTGGACAACTGAGTATGCGTGACAAGAATCTCGACATATGGGGGCAAAGAGCGTGCTGTGGGTGATTAATATCTAGTTAATCAACTTCGGGTGTTAGGCTTACTGTCTCCTTCGCCAATTGACAAGGCCCATGTTGCATACCACCGCTCGTAGAAGGTTTGAATGGTTGTCTTAATCCTTTGATATCGTCAGTGTATAAATGGTATTCATTAAAGGCGTGATATCATACAACTGAGCAGCTTCCGAGCCGGTATCGACGATACGATAACTATCACAGCTTGATTTAACTTTCTGAAAGAGTCCATCCTGAAACTGTTAGAATAGAACTGTATAACATGATATGGGTGTGTGGGTGGGTATTTGTAATAGAAGCTGGGATGGCACCTACGAGGTCCCTTCGGAGAACTGCCATGGAATTCATAGGACCATCACGCGGGTCTGCAATGTTGGACAGGTGCCAACGATCGCAGTTTTCGATGAGCGTGGTTGGAGGGACCGTATAGTTTCGTCCACGCGCAAGACAAACACTGATGAGGTTAATGTCAGATCCAGATATACTACTGGAAGAATCAAACGTACCCCCTCTCAACAACATACAATGCAATCCAAGCTCTTTCGCGTCTTCGCAGCAGCCTGAGGCCCCACTCTGAAGATGGATCAATGTCATCAAATCCATCCATGTGTAAAGCCCTCTTGGCATCGATACAGTCTGCTCGTGCCAGGCGATTCATGAGTTCTTGGTTGAAGCTTGAAGAGGGCGAGACAATCTTGTTCAAAGATAAGTCTAGAGCAACAGTGAGGGCCATGGCAATATAGGAGCAAGTATCATCGTCTCCTAGTCTATCACCGGGAGACATCCATGGAACGTTCACCATAAAAGCCAGAACAATCTCAACAGACCTATGGCGGTGTGTAAACACTCGCTTCGCGAGCCATTTGCAATGTCTGGATAGTCTCTTGGATAAAGCAGCAGCAGATGGCAAAAATAGGGCTGCACCTGCCATAATTGAAGTAAAAAGAAAAGCGGACTGGGACCGTACAAAGGACGGGCTGTGTATCAAAGGATCGAGGCCCCATCGAGTATGTGCGAGGTTTTGGTAGAAGCTTAATCTGTCAGTTCTATGCCCCAGGTATAAAAAGAAAATCGTTTTCACAAATTAGGCCTCTGGAAAATATCTTTAAAAAAGCCATCTATACAGCATATCTGAAAAGATCACTGGAAAGACATCACAAAGCCGCATAAGGGGTCAAATATTCTTGTTTAACAATAAAAGCAGAATACTTACAATGAGAACAAGGACTCCGACTCGTCAAATGTGACTAAACCCAGCTCAACAGGGTCAACTTCAGGTCCAATATCCAAATTTGCTCTTGTAGGAACAAAAAAGGACTTGGCACTCGGCTCTCCTAGCGGGGTGCTCTGTATGAACGATGGACCCTCTGACGGTGGCATTGGAGGCCTTGGCGCACGTCGCACCCCAGTCGGCGAAAGCTGCAGATCCGAAGCCCTAGCAAGCAGCTGAAGGGGGTTTTCTGCATCGACAAGTGCAAGACTCTCCTCCGCATGAATATCGCGCGGAGAACCCATGCGCGGATAATCTGGTACTTCTGAAAGGCCACGCTCATGCTCATTCTCATTATTCGTCAACTGTCCCTGGACTTGACCGAGAAGATCCTGTAGGACTGATATAGCCCTTTGGGCATCATCGTCACTAGAAGGGCTGACCTTGGGCCGCTTGATTGCCTGCTCGATCTGATGTATCGCTTTCTCCAGGCCCTTGCGTTTACTAGACTCCATTCAGTTTTTCATTCCACACTGATTTGATTTCACTCACTTTTTGACACCCTTTTGTCGGCCCAGATGATGGTTGGGGACAATACACTCTGCATTGGTCTGCCTACATTTCTCACAGCTGCGCTCGCCTGCCAGACGGTTGCAGCGAATCTTGCTCCGTCGACAGCTCAAGCATGCAGCTTGTTTTCCGTGTGGACTGGAGGCTGAACCTGCCGACTCGACCTCCATGGGTAAAGTGGTTCCTTGGCCATGAACACTGCGGAGATGCGGTATCGGGACAATCGGCAGGTAGTAAGTTTGGCTTATGTAGCATTCTATGGCTCCTCTCTTCAACAGCCCGGCCGGGCTAGCTCAATCGGTAGAGCGTAAGACTCTTAATCTTAAGGCTGCGGGTTCGACCCCCGCGTTCGGCTATTCCTAAAAACCAAACCTGAGATTTCTTTTTTGCTCTTTCTATTTTTTTCGTCTATTCATAAAAGAGAGAGAAAAAAATATGAAGCCTCAGGACAACAATATAAATGGTTGCTGCCAACGGGTAGTATATTACGTACTACAGGCAAAACACCGCACATGGGTGTTTGTAGTTGCATATATATTTTAACAATGGACTGTCGCGTTTGCAGTCAGATTATATATTTCCCACTTCTCTTTGAATTTGCAACGCGAAAAATATAGAATCCAGCTGCTAAATCTGTCATTTTATTTTATATAGAGTTATCACGGCTGTGAAAGATGTTCGATCAATATTGCAGCGGGAATCGAGCGGTATTCCCCCAGCTCTCGCCCAGCGCACGCTGAGTTATAAGTTTACACCTCCTATCAGAGATCAAAAATGTAAAATCCCTCCGCCTTAAGAGACCATCCGTGGAGGCTGACTCTCAATCAGACATCCCTTGTCCTACAGTGTTTGAACAATACCGTAATCGGGACCAATGGAATGTGGAACTGGGCAACAGCCAACTGGAAGAAAATTGGACATGGGAGGATATGATCAAATGTTGAGCCAACAGATGGAGAAAATTTGTGGTTGAAACCCCCGGGTCAAGAGGGAGCTGTTCACATTGAGCAATGGCCCAGAGATCATTATTACATTGTCCTAAAGCCCTGTCTGATGGAATGGGTGTGACGCAGTTGAAGGATAGAGGTTGGAAGGAAAATGCTGAAGAGGAATGACACTTTCAAGGTTGTATCCATGGATGTCAATCTTGGAGTATTTAAAGTAGTCGCCAAGTAATTATTGTGGGCTTTGCTGATCTTATTCGATTTGGCTCAAGACGATACCAGTGACGTATCTTATTGAATGTCATTTGCTTTTGTAGTGGCCATATAGTATGCATATCAAGAAACGAGCGGGTGGTATATGTAAAGATGAGTAGCCGGTTAAATACAAGTCCCAAAACAACAAGGCTGTAGTACTTTTCGTGACTTATTAATAAATAGTGAATATAGATCCGAATCCAACATAAAAAACAATCATATATAAACCATCAATCAAGCATAGTGAACGGGACCGCTCTCGCCATGACCCGCTGGCAGAACACCAGATACCTGTGGAGCAGGATAGGGCTGAGCCAACCCAGGAGCCTGAGACATCTCAGCAGCAGGGGGATCCAACAAGCGCGGACCAGATTCTGTAGGCCTTTTGCTTGCCCTAACAAGTGCAGGTGCGGGGCCCAAGACAGTCGGGTACTTGAAGCGGAAACCCCAGGCGAAGAACAAGCGGATCTTTGTCCAGAAACCCATGGCGTCCCATCTCTTCTGGAGGATCTCAGCGTCCTCTTTGCTGCGGGCGCGGTAGCCCTTGCGGAAACAACACAAGAAGAAAAGAGAAAGAGGGAGCCAGATGAAAGCCCAGAATAGAGGAAGACCACGGCGGGTTTGCCAACCCGTCATGAGGCGACGGAAGCGTACCCAGGCCTCGATCATGCCCAGGATGAAAACTATGCCGACCCAGCCCAGCACGCAGATTAGTGTAATTGCGAGGTAGGAGATGCCGATTCCGGACCAGCGTGCGCTAGTGAACCAGTTGTCGTCGTCATAGTAGTCATAGTAGTTTGAACTGGTGTAGCCAGACCCAGAGGCGGTTTCACCGGTGTTGTAATCGTCGGAGTAGCCGTAATGAGAGGTGAGGCCTGTGTACTCGCATCCGGCACCTGTGTAGACAGAGGTAGGGGCGTGGTAGAGCTTTAGAGTGCTGAGAGAACTCTTGGGGAGTTGGGTGGGTTCCACGAACACTATCTCATAGATGTAGGTGGTGGGTTGGAATGCCTTGCCGTTGTCGACGGATGTCGAGGTTTCTACGTTATCTCTGGGCAACAAGGTCGCGATCTCATAAGGAGGGGTGATCGTGACACCGGTCGTGGTGGTCCATTGAGTAGAGCAGGCTGTCGGGGCCGAGTAAGTCAGGTTGACCTTGTAGATGGTGCTAAGATAGTTTCCATCGCTATCCACACCGTCATGGTAGTCATAGTATGAGCCGCGCTCCACACCATAGCCCGTGGGATACAGCTTTTGGATAACGGTGTAGTCATAGATGGTATCTGTGGAAGTAATGGTGGACAGGGCCTCGGATGGCAATGTTGCAGTTGGAGAGATTTGCTGGACCACAGTGGTCACCTCGTCATAGTAATTTGTAGTAACTTTTTGCTCGTAGACATCTGTCACGATCCAAGGGGCAGCCTGAACGAATGGGGTCAAAACGAATGACAAGAAAAGAATAAACGAATGTGAAGGCGCCATCTTGAATGGTCCTGAAGGTTTGCAGGGAAAATAGCCAGGAAGGGGTCCATGGCTTTATAAAATAAAAAAAACCACATAGCGCCTCATGTTCAAAGACCCTTATTTTTGGCCCATTTGGGGGCTGTTTATCGCCTAAGATATACCAGTTCATACTAGGTGGAAATTGCTGCATTAGAGTAGGCAGATGCTCTCGTCTGATTGGCGATGTCTCGTAATTTGCCAGAGCTAAGTGGAGTGTCTAGTCTATTTACGATCTAGTCGTGAGCCCTAGTACTTTCGCCTCATATTTTTTTACCGAACTGGTCTTTTCTTAGACTTTCCAGGGTCGTTTATACGGCGATGACTCAAAATCTGGACTAGCTTCATGAAAAAAAAAAATCTTCGAATACGTCTAGTCACGTACAAAACAGCGCAGAAAGAACATTTGAAATACAAGCGTAACTTCGTGGATCGTCAGTGTGGCAAGGTTCGGAGATCGCGAGGAATCTATATGGGGGATTGACAGTCCCGAGTACCCAGGAGGAGAGGAGCATAAGGAGGAGAGAGAGTATAAGCTACTTGCTCAATTAGCAGCCCGTAAAGCCCGTAGCCTTGCACCCAAACCATCCTCAGCCTCGGCATCCACCTGCTTAGGCTCCTTGACCTCTTCCTTAGGTGCCGCATCCGCTTCGAGGTTGAGGCGCATATCAACACCCGCATCATCGGCCAGTTGTTCCATAAGCCGATCAACATCAGCCTCACCCTCCGCACCATATTCCTGCATCGATATACCCTGTGCGACATCCTCGATCGCACTGCTAGCTATCTTAAAGTCCTCCGACCGGGCGAGGAAGTTGTTAGCGTGAGAGACGAGGTGTTCGAGGTTGACGCTCCGTGAGGCAGCGTCTAGGCCCCGTGACGCCATCGCGAGCGTCCGGGATGTGTCGCGGGTACTTTGGGCTGCCTTGAGTTCGTTGATGATGACGTCTGCGCGTGCCGCTTCGGATTTCAGTGTAACTTGGCGTCGCTTCTCGCGCACGGCGGAGGCGGCGTGAATGCGGGCGATTTGGAACTCGCGGTTTTTCATCGCTTTGTCCGCTTTGGCCTTTTCAGATTTGAAGGTTGCCTCTGCCCGGACGGCTTCTTTCTTGAGTCTGTTGGAGTGTAACTGGGAGATAAGATTAGCAATGGTCTCACGCAGCGGGGTTGATGCACGCCGTGAGGAGGGGAAACAGAAAGTGCGGGGAGACAACTTACTTTGACATTTGTACGGGCTTCGAATATAGGGTCTTTGCGAACCATGATGTCGGTTAGAGATGTTACAAAGGATGAAGATTGCAGGTGTTGTGGAAGGCAGATGGATTTGGGGGCGCGTGGCAACGTCACTGACCGCATTCATTCCATTCTTGGCGTCTGTTTGTTCTAGCATCACAAAGTCTAGATTTGACCAAGCCGAATGTCTCTAAATGGATCAATGGTAGTGATACGAAATACGGCGAATTGAAAGAACTATGCCATGTACTATTTACGTCTTGGAAGTATTGCAAGATGAGCCAGTCGATTTTGCATTATAAAAACTATGTAGTATACAGGCCAAAAAAATGGAACCCTCAGCGCTGTTTGCCCATGAGCAAAGATGAAAGAGCTTTACTCGCGCTTGAACTCCGAAAACTCCGTGTACCTCGATGCACCTTTCCATTACTGCGTTGCCGACCGGATTTCATAGTGTTTCCCCGCTGGTGTCGTTTAGACAGGCTAAGACTATCAATTGCCCAAGCCATGGTTAATAACGACTCCCAACTCGGTCGAGCCTCCGAGGCGCCAGCCGACCAGGTCTGCGGGGAGAAAGTCTCACTAACCGCTAGCTGCAATGCTCTGCCCGTCGCATCTCGAAGTGGACGCGCCAAGGCTGGGCTGCAAGCTAGCAGTCTGGTGAGAAGTCTCATCCGAAAGACCGGACGATTGGACGCCGTCGAGGACGACAGACTCGGGGTCGAAATCAACCATAGAATCAAAGGGAAATGCTGATAGATCTCCTCCGTCGAGAACGTCAAAGGCAAACCCGTCTTCAGGGAAAGAAGGATTTGACTCAGCGGGTGAATCACCGTGGAACAGGCGGCGGAAGTCATCGTCAGAAAGAGGAGCTGCAACATCATTTGCAGTCTGAGGTTCGTTGGAGAGGTCGAAGAGGGGTAGGGCGCTTCCAGATCCTTCGAGGCCGGCGACGGACACTGCAGGTCACATTCACACAACACCGCTGCAGGATGTTGTGTCACGTCGGAGGCCTCAGCCAGAGTGGAAGGCTTAAAGGTGGGAGAGTAGTCGGTAACGGAGGGAGTTGGGAAAGGAATCCGTTCCATAGGGAGTTCGTCGCCTTCTTGTTTGAAGAGGGTAGGCGTGAGGGTGGGAGATTCGATGGCGGGAGAACTGGCTTTGGGAGTCACGCTGCGAGATCCACGGACCTCGGCGGAGAGCTTGGCCACTTGTTGGCTCAGGCGGTTATTCTCCGTCTCCATCTGCGATAGACGCTGGATCAGGAACTGGTTTTGTTGTTCCATTCGGATCTTTTCGGTCTCGAGTTTCTCCATTTCAAGGCGCTTGCGCTCGCGTGACGTTTGAGCAGCAGCACGGTTTCGAAGAACCCGTTCGATCCGGCGCTGCTCCTTTTCATCATCTGTCTTGGCGCGTTTTCTAGACGAGTCAGCGGGGTTCAACGTTTGATGTGGATAAGATAGACAACATACCTAGGAGGGAGGTTTGTTTTTGGGGTTGGGAGTTCTTGTCCCCAAGACTTTCTCTTCTTTGTTGGCTTCTTCTCATCATCTTCATCTTTGATATCATCTTCCGGCTCCGGAGAGTCTAATGATGTATCCGCGGGGGAAACTGTGTACATGTCTGGGGATGGCGAGGCTGGGAGGGTATCCAACGGGTTGATAGTATCCGCCATGGTGACAGGGTCAAATGGATAACCGGTGCCGGACGTGAGTAACAATTGTGTATATAAGACTTAAAATGACTTTAGGTGAAAAGAGGTTCAAATCACAGAGGCCACGTTATCATCACGATCGGCACCGGAGACCAGAGACTCCGGGGAAGATTGAGTCAGAGGGTGAGTCAGCGAAAAAAAAGAGAGAGAAAGAATGGAAAGGACAGCTGTTCAACTGCAAACGGATGGGGAGAGATGAGGTTTAAGTAGAGGCCACGGTGGTCTGAAAGGGATGGGCCTAGGGGAATGGAACAAAGGGGGGGAACCTTGGAACCTGGGCGCACACGTACGTCAGGTACATGCTTCGCCATACAATTTACCATGTGCCACCGAGTACCTCAAAAGGGGCTGAGTTCCTGTAACGAGACCTGTAAATTACGTTAATTTCCCCCTGCATTCCATGGTTCGGCCTCCTTTTGACAGCCAATTATGATTTGCTCCTTGAAACATCGTATCCCACCCTTGGTATTTGCTCACTTTATTGTCTCCAAATGTCTCTTAACTTCTATAATTGGGATATTGGCCCCAATACACTTACATTGGATGGAATATGGAGTACTCCGTATGGAGTATCACTTACAAATTCAGCTTCTGATATTTCGGGTAGCACAACAGCCACTCCGACTCGATCCATTCAAATCATGATATGTCCCACAAATGATCTGAGATAAGAGTCTCGAACAATCTACTTTGTAGAGTGGATCTGGTACTGACACGTCCTCTCCTGAATCTGAGGCGATTAGTACGGAGGATTACCCGGAGAATGCTCCGTTTACACGCGGATCAGTCAAGGGCTGCCCCGCCCCGTTAATTCTCCGTGCCCCCTAAGTCTGAGGATGTCACTGTGTGATTATGTACTCCATACTCGGGCAAGGAGGTTAGTGTGCCATTTAGATTGGCGGAGATCATACTGGGGATGTTACGGAACCACTTCGAACACGGTAGAATCATGAAGTCTAGGTTGAGGGGCTGAAACGGGGCGTTGGTTGACCTTGGTTTATAGGGGTGACTCCTACCATTTGCTGCATGTGGACTATGAAGGCTTCTTGTGAAAAAGATAACGATATATGTCTACCTCAAATTCAATACACTAAATTCAGTCATCGGTATTGACATCCCATTTTGGAAACCTTCGACACCAGGGGAATTATATGCAGTCCCTCAAACAAAGAAAAAAAACGCCATCCCATAGAAACGTGCTCATGACAAGATCGTAAGCGAACATGTGCGGGGCTATGATCAATTGATCTCATCTACATGGTGACATCCATCGTGTCATCGCCAGCATCCATGGCATTCTGAGCCTCCGGGTCGGGGACCACCACACCACGTCCTCGGCCAGCAAGCAGTTCGCGTCGCACTTCAGGTCCAATGTCCTTGTGTCCACGGACGAGAAGCAAATCGAGAAGCGCTTCACGCTGGTCCTCAGTGATATCGTTGCGATAACGCTGGGCAAAGACCAAAAGGGACTGGTGCCAGAGAACGGGCAGCTTGTACGCCTTGGAACCGAGTCCGGAGGGTCCATCGGTCATGGCATCATCCGAAGAATCAGCGGCGCGGAAGCGCATGAAGTGGAATACCAGGGCGTCAATGACCTTGTACGGCAGGGCATACTTCTTCTCCAGGAAGACGCGGATGAACATGTTGACAGCACCGGTGCTTTCAATGGAGGTCAACGACTGTTCCGCGGCTAGATCACACATGCGAAGCAGGGCGGCTGCGGAGTGCAGCACGGGAACGGAGACGCGAGCAACCACAGAAGAGACAATGTGGGCTTCGCGCAGGGTGCAGGTGCCGGTGGACACGAGCGGGAACAAAAGTCCCTTGAAGAAGCATGCGGGCTTGTACAGGGCCTTGCGCAACGCATTGTAGGTGTGGATGTTCAACTTTTTGGTTTCGTGAATTTCGTTGCGCACGCGCTCCAAAAGCACAATGTTGATGAACTCCTGGGCAACTGCAGGCTTGGACGAAATGAAAATACGGGTTACGGCGTAGACGGCGTTGCCGGTCCATGACTCGGGACGAGTGATATCCAGAATGGTCTGCCAGTTCGGTACAGAGGGAAGGATCTTGATGGGCTTGGGGAGCGGGCCAGACTTGTAGCGAGAAAGAATCATGCCGACCCTAGAACCAGTTAGCTTGGGCTCACAAGGTACTGTCGCAAAACATACTTCTCATATACTTCCACGGCCTTGGCAGGAATCTGGACTGCATCCTCGGGGATACCACCACCTTGGATGTATGGACCATAAGGGCCCTCGCCAGCCTGCTTCGCCTCGTGCTCGGCAATCTTCTCGAGAATCAAATCGGCAAGGTTGGTGGGGCCAGCGGAGCTAGGGTCCTTGGGGTGGAATATAGGGTCCTCCTCGTGAGGCATGAATTTGTTGAACATATCTAGATCATTGGGGTCGACCTCCTTTGTAAAATGTTAGAAGCAATATCATTATTTAAAAATTCGGGAGTCTTACAACTTGCTCGACTTCATCATCCACCCAGTCGTCGGCCTCAAACTTTCCCTCGTCGTCGGAGAAAGTCTCCTCATCCTCGAATCGGGTATCGAATTCAAATGCATTCGATTGGGGCCGTGCTGAGTTCTTGAGTTCCTCGGCGGCATCCTCGTCGGCCAATTCCTGTCCAATCTGTAGAATCTTGCGCGACATCTTCGCGTCGACATAACGCTGTCCATTTTCGCCATCTTCATCGTTCTCGTCGGCTTTGCCTTTGCCTTTCTTGCTACTCTGTGTCCGAAGGTGCCCCGCAGAAGTAATATCTTCAGCGAGGGGGTTGTGTCTGCGTGCCGCGGCAGCAGCGCGCGAGCTTGATACCTTTGGCATGGTGGGTAATTCTTCAGATAAACCGAAGAAACAGAAATGAGTAGTTTGGGCTGGCTTATCGAAGTACACACGACGATCAAATTGTGTGGTCATATTTTTTTTTTCTGCCAGGCGGTGCCCCCCAGTATCATCACCGCCTGTACCCCACACCGCCCTAGTCTCTTCGCGCATTTTCTGCAAATAAACTCTGACCGCCTCCGTTTCCCAAGAATCTCCTTGTCCAGCGCGCATGCGATTGACTCTTTCAAAGGGATGTTTGCTGCCTATCAATGAACATAGAAGCAACTGGCATACTATAATACTTTATTTGGGGAAGCTGCAGGCTGCCAAATCTCCTTATCTTTCGCGTATATACACGCCGGAACAGCTTGACAGCATACAGACAAGCTTCAAATTGAGTAAGGACTTCGAACTCGGTAGAAGCAAAATGCCGTCGAGCCATACTCATTGGCTTATATCTTGTCCAAATTGCTGACTTTCTTCAGATCGACAGACGAATCGATAGGCCACAACCACAGCGGACAAACATAGCCTCCATCATGGCATCCGGCCAAGCCCCCGGGTCTTCCGCTCCGTCGTCCAACATCAACTCCCCGATCCTACCTCCCAATGGTGGACCTCTTCTAAATGCGCAATTCACCGACTTGAACCCACGATCTTCTCCCGCTCCGTCCGTGCAAGGCGATGGTCGAGCCAAGCGCAACAAGCGAGATAGTCGCAAGAAACGTGAAGCCAAAGGACTAGACCCCGAAAACGCACCACCGCCGAAAAAGCGAGCCACAGCTGCACCGAGCCACGCCCTGCCCAGTTCAAAACTGAGCATCCTTCGTCCATTGTTGCTCGCCGAGCCGCACGCCTCGGATCGGTACCCTCCACAACCTCGCCAATTGAATCGCGTGAGCCGAAAGACGTCGGACGTTTTGGGTCAAAGTTGGGATTTCTATGAGGTTGTTGATAAACTCACCAACAAGAATGGATTTCGTTACAGCTATGCCATTGCAGACCCCGGATTCCCTCATATCAAATATCGACAGACCGATGTTCGCCCGTACCATACCCGCTTCAGTTTCGAGGATTCACCAGCTGCCATATCGTTTTCAGAGAGCGCGACTGCAGTGACTACCAGTGATGCGTGGCATACCGCCCGCGCTAATGTATGCGCTCGAGAGGGCACGTATTATTACGAAGCGCGTGTGATTAGTGGCATAGTCAATGATCCCCAGGCACCTCAGAACAGCAGACCCACAACTTCACCCCGTGGCCATGTTCGTATTGGATTTGCCCGACGTGAGGCCGACCTCGATGTGAATGTTGGAGTGGATTGCTATGGGTACGGGATTCGAGATGTGAACGGCGAAGTCGTCAATCGCATGCGATGCGAGTTCTTCTTTCCTAAGGGAGAGGCTATCAATGAAGGAGATGTTATTGGCATGCTCATCACTCTTCCGCCTCTTTCTCTTCACAAGAAAATTGTCGAGGGTACATACGATCCCGCCGATAATAGTCCATCACAACCGGTAGCAACCAACATCATCCGAGATCGGATTCCCTTTCACTATAAGTCGGATTTCTGTTGGCAGCAATCCAATGTCTTTTCTACGAAACACCTACGCGACTACGCTTTCAACCTCAAGGAAACACCGACGTTTGGTCCCCCGTCACCTTTCAACAGCGAAGACGCCACACTTCGCACACTCCCGGGGTCTAGTATTACCATTCTAAAGAACGGAGTACAGATGGGCACCCCTTTCAAAGAACTTTATGCCTTCCTCCCGCCCGCAAGTCGTCTCGCCAATGGAACAAACAATCTTGGTATTGGCGAGCGTGAAAACGCCGACGACGGCTTGATCGGTTATTATCCTGCTGTGAGTTGCTACGGCGGCGGCGCTGTCGAATGCCGATTTGAGGGGCCATGGTGGGTTGGGCCACCCGAGAAGACTGAAACTGGAGAGCCAGTCCGGGCCATGGGCGAACGATTCAATGATCAGATCGCCGAAGACGTGTTGGCCGATATCGTGGACGAGGTAGAAGCTATGTTCACATGGGGCGGAATTGATGGCGATGTCATCAATAACAATACCGAACTCGATGGAGCTGGAGCTGGAGTTGTGGGAGGGGCAGAGGTGTTGAAGGGTGGTGTCGGTGCGGCGCTTGACTCTACCCTCGCCCATACTCCTGGAACCGTTGGGGCATCCGATTCCGCTGCTAATAGCAATCGTGAGACACCAGCTGCAGGCGATGTTGGGAACCACGGCCTCGAAGATGCGATGAGCGTCGGGACAGCTGGTACTCCCAACGTTGAAGTGCAGGGTGATGGCGATGTCGAGATGACTTAAACGGGAAATGAAATAGGCGTTTGGCTTTCGCAGTAGCATTGATACCAATTCTGATTTCAAAATCTATTCACATAATACACATTTCATACAGTAGTCGTACAGGTATGGGTCTAATCCAAATGTCTTCCCTCCAACATCTCTCCCACTTTCATGACCAACTGGTCGTCTCCATATTGACCGATGATCTGGATTCCTGCCAGTTCAGCATCTTTCTCCCCAGATACTGTCACGGGGACTGAAATTGCAGGAAGACCAGCCAGGCTAGCTGGAACAGTGAATACGTCGGTAACATATGCATCCAAGGGTGATTTCTTGGTAGATTTGCTCATCAAGTCCGACAGTTGTGGCGGGGATGAGGGAGCAGTGGGACATATGATGACATCTACGTCATTTTCGTTTGCAATATTGTCTGCGCCCTGCAAAGCGAGCGGATGCTTGGCTGTAAAGACAGCATTAAAGTCTTGCTGGACTAGACGACGCACCCGTTGTGCTTGGATGAAATAGTTGTCAATGGCATCGGCACTCAAAGTGAATGTGCCTAGCACAATTCGCCTCTTCACTTCTGGCCCGAACCCTTGTCCTCGAGTATTTGAGAATAGATATCCATCGGGCTTTCCGTCGCCATCTGGGCCTTCGGCGCGAGTCCCGTATCGCACTCCATCGTATTTGGCCAGATTTGAAGATGCCTCGGCAGGTCCCACGACGTAATAGGTAGATAATGCGTGTTTGGTGTCGGGCAGGGAGACGGAATGCACAGTGTGTCCTTGTTCCCTCAGGTGTGCCAGAGAAAGAACCCAAGCTCGTCGGACTGATGGAGTCAGCTCGGAAACGTTATACTCCATTGGCACGCCAATTCGGAGGGGGGCTGAAGTCAGCCGTGAGGCAAGTTGTGGTGTTTGGAGAGACGCTTGGATTCGAGAGCGGGAGGATGTTGAGAGGCTAGTAGGATCGCGTTGGTCATGTTGATTGAGGATGTCTAGGCATGCTATTAGCACAGTCGTTATCCAGCCATACTGGTCAAAACCTACCGAAGATATCTCGGACATTGGCAGTGGTTTTTCCAATTATACCCACGGTATCTAAAGAGTTTGCGTATGCCACCACACCCCATCGTGATATCAGTCCGTATGAAGGTTTGAACCCCACTGTCCCGGTGTAAGCAGCCGGAAGTCTGACCGAGCCTCCAGTGTCCGTCCCTAGTGAGCTATAAAAGTCAGCAATCAGTCGTATTGCTAAAGACTGGCTACTTACGCATAGCATTGGTCGGCGGCGACTGAGGCGGCACTTCCACCAGAGCTGCCACCGGCCGAGAGGTCTTCACCGCTGGAATCGCGACGAGGGTTCTTGACAGGACCGAAATGTGAGTTGATCGAGTGTGATCCCATCCCAAACTGGTCCAGATTTGTCTTTCCAGCGACAATGGCTCCGGCGGCCTCTAGTTGATCGACAACGGTGGCATTGAACGGGCTCGTAAATTTATCCAGGATTCCCGAAGCGCAGGTCGTTGGAAGGTCGCGTGTGCAGATATTGTCTTTGATGGAGATCAATCGGCCGTCCACTGCGGACTTGGGTTTCCCTGATCATATCGGTTAATTCTGAAGTAGAAAGTGGAAGTCTGATATTGCTACCTTCTTTCTTGCGCACATCTGCTTCCTTCACGCGGTCCAACCATGGCCCCGCGCGCGACAGCGGGGTTATAAAGGCATTGATATTATGTGCATACTGATTAGCGACGCATCTCTCAGCTTCGCGCAACAAGGACATTGAGACGAGTGAGTGAGGAGTAACATGGACAGGGAGTGGAACGCGAGTTTCCCGGGTCCGTGCTGCTTTCTACGGTATCTGTTTAAGTCTGTCACCTTTGATATTTATGGTGTGGACGGACCTATATAGGTATATATTATAGACTTAATAGCCTTAGAAATCAATAACTATTAGCCCGGATATAAACATCAATATCGAATAATTCTGTTTAAGTGACCTCGGAGCTATAATGTCAATAGTTCCTTCGGGCCGAGCGAAATCGACCAAGACGTCATCCGGATTTGCTCGACTTTCTCTTTTCTTCCACTCCCTCACTCTACCAGCTATGTTCTCACGAAGTGTACTACAGACAGCCACACGAAGTGCTCGCCCGGCCTCAGCTCGAGCTGTACCACAGGTGCTCGGCAAAGCTCCATTCGGTCGGCGATACATTTCGGTATATGGCTACACACAAGCAAAGGCTCTCATCTATTCCAAATATGGCGAGCCCAAAGATGTCTTGCGGTATGTCCTCCCAGCTGCAATTGAACAAACCAAAACTGATCTCAAGTTAGCTTACACAAGCACTCAATCTCCGCGCCGCACGCAACCCAAGTGAATCTGCGCCTGTTGACCGCGCCGATGAACCCCGCCGACGTGAATCAGATCCAGGGTGTCTACCCCAGCAAACCTCCCTTCCAAACGGACCTCGGGAACGCGGAGCCCGCCGCAGTCGGCGGCAACGAGGGCGCATTCGAGGTGCTGTCAACCGGTGCGGGCGTCAAGAACCTCAGCAAAGGCGACTGGGTCATCATGAAGCGCACCGGCCTAGGTACCTGGCGTACCCACGCGCAGCTGGACGAATCCCAGTTGATCAAGATTGAGAACAAGGAGGGTCTGACCCCGCTTCAGGTTGGCACTGTCAGTGTCAACCCCGTCACTGCGTACCGTATGCTCCGGGATTTCTGTGAATGGGATTGGATGCGTGCCGGTGAGGAATGGGTGATCCAGAACGGCGCCAACAGCGGTGTCGGGCGAGCAGCTATCCAGCTGGGCCGCGAGTGGGGAATCAAGACGCTCAATGTCGTTCGGCAGCGCAAGACCCCCGAAGAGACCGAGGCTCTCAAAAAGGAGCTCAAGGATCTGGGAGCTACCGTTGTTATTACCGAGGAGGAGATGCTTACTGGAAACTTCCGGGATATGGTTCACGAGTTCACCCGCCAGGGCCGGGAGCCCATTCGTCTGGCGTTGAACTGCGTAGGCGGGAAGAATGCCACCGCTCTGGCAAAGACTTTGGCCCCCAATTCGCACATGGTGACCTACGGAGCCATGTCGAAGCAGCCTGTTGCATTGCCCTCGGGCTTGCTGATCTTTAAGAACCTCGTATTTGACGGGTTCTGGGTTAGCAGGTGGGGTGACAAGAACCCCGAGCTGAAGGAGAGCACCATCAAGGATGTGCTTCAATTGACTCGCTCTGGCAAGTTCCACGACATTCCCGTGGATGAGGTCAAGTGGAATTGGGAGTCCGAGGGCCCGGAGTTGGCAGAGAGCGTGCAGGGCACCTTGGGCGGCTACCGTAGCGGAAAGGGTGTGTTCACCTTCAACGGCGGTGATTAAGTGAACAGCCTAGATGCATGTATTATAAAGCTAGGCGGTATTTATAATATTGGTCCAGAAACTAGGAATGAATTGTAACAAAATGAACTGCTAGAAATTATAACTTATCAACACTTCCAGTTCTTCTTCACCCAGTCAAGAATCAGGTTTGTTAGAGACATGTTCGGCATGTACACATCACTTTCCTTTGCAATGTCGACATCGAGACCGGCAAACTTGGCGGCCATTATCACCTTGCTCTCTATGAAGTCAAGGTATACCATATCCACCGTCTTTGGTGTCTCTGATGCATTGGGAGATATGAGGGTTTGAATACAGTTTGGCACGCGGTAAAAGGATATGGGTGAGTGGATGGTATCGTCACCATCTGTGCCTGCATCATCTTTTGTCGTGTAACCGGGCACGAGGGCCGGACCGGACATGGGAATTTGCTCACCAGGCGAAAGCCAATTTTGGGCAATCACGTCTTCCGGATATGCAAGTTGCTCGACAGGGCCCAAGGTTGTAGGCGAAGATTCATCCGTAGATAAAATTTGCGGCTGTTCGTTCAAAACCTCGACAATAAGTTGTGCCTTGTCATATGGGACATCTTTAACATAGCGGAAGGTGCTGGTGAATGGCGATATAATAAAGGTTGAGTCTTGGGTAAAAGGCCCCTTGAAGATATCGAACCTTATGGCTCCCGTATTAACAATGGCTAGTCTAGGCGTGTCCCCACGAGACTCATCCCTCACGTCGCGCAAAACCTGAGTCTCAAGCCAGGTGTAGATGCTGTTGGGGTCCGGATACTTGACTCGCGACATCCATAAATCATGTGGAGCGCATCCATGGACTTTGTCCAGATGAAGGTCGGACCGTGCTTTGGTGATCAATCGGGAGACATTGAGGCCTTTATCGGTTGGGAAGGTCTTTTGATCAAGACCGGTATGATGATAATAAGACAAGAGATTATTGTCAATGTATCTGCGTTTGAAGACGGGCCCAACGGCAGACTGGTGGCTGGCTTTGCTGGCGAGGCCATCGATTGACATGAAGCCAATAGTTTCCATGAATCGGCCGCTCGCTAGCCCAAAGGCTTTGGAATCATATTGCGCATAGTCACGCACATGCTGGTGTCCGCCAAAGAATTGAATTGGAGTATCCCAACGAATTCCCCGTATCGCCTTGAAGATCGCCCGGTACTCCGGCGAATGAACAGGCACATGGCCGATCACCAAAAACAGATCCACCTCTTTATCCCGAATGGCTTCTTGGAACCAATCCTCTTTGATAGTAGACGATACCCTCTGGACCACAGTGTTGTTGTAATTTCCGTTGAAATCAAAGAGGAAGCCAAACGCTACTATACGGATGCCTTGCTTCTTGGTAGTGAACTTCTTGAACCGCGGAGCCAGAGGCACAAGCTCTTTCGTGGTCGGGTGAATGATATCAATATTCGACGCTAGATAGTTACCCCGGAAATTAGGAACGGTGATGAGAAGCTCGGCCTCGGATGTGTTTTGCTTGTATAGTTCATGGTTTCCCGACGTCAACAGGTCGATGTCCTGGTGCCGGAAGATGTCCGAAAGGTAGATACCCTTGGGTTCGGACGAGTCGTATAGGCCATTCCCTTCGACTCGGTCACCAGTATCTATAACGAGTAGATCTTGTCCTTGTGCTTCTGCCTTCTCCCGCATGCGTGTCGCAAATGATACATAGTCTCCCCAATCTGCGGAGTAGGACGGTCTGCAATTATTAGTACAACTCCAAAGCTATGCAGGGTCTAAAGCCTACTCCTGCAGATGACCAGCTAACCAGCCATGAGTATCGGTAGTATGGAGGAAATTCAGTTGCCCGAAATCAAGGGCCCGTAGCGGAGCGGAGATAGGATCGGGTGTGGAGGGTTGAGCGGCGAGTGCCGACGGAAGTAGCCAGAGCAAGAACAACATCAGTATCGATAATACACCCTTGGAAGAGTGTATAAAAGCATAGATTTACGGTGAGAAACCCCTTGAAAGGTCTTGCAATATCTGAAAGGAAACACGTAGTTATAGCTAAACGTATTAGAGTTGATACCTCATAAGAAGATATGTCGAACAAACAAACAAGTGATCAAGTGAGCTCTCTCCAATTCTGTATGGTTACGGTTACAGTACCGGTGAGCTCTGATATCACGTGTTGCCCAACATCTTCGGATTTGCATCTCAAAGATTATTCGGACGGCGATAAGTTTTCCCTGGCTATTCACTTTTATCTACTCTCCCGCTCTTCTATTCAATTGAATTCGCGGTCCGATTTGGTCTGCGATCGTTAATTGAATCTCTTTTTCTTTCGTCGTTTTTCATCTTCTTAATTCGATCATATTTCCGCAATGGCAGCTCCCCGACTTTTCCGCCCAACAGCCCGTCTGTTTTCATCGCGCCTTGCTTCCACTGCTCTGCGCTCAAACCTCCGCCAGTCCGCCTGTGCTCCTTCAATTCTGCGCCGCGGATATGCCACCGAGGATGGCACCAAGCAGGTCACCGTTCGCGATGCCTTGAACGAGGCCTTGGCCGAGGAGTTGGAACTTAACCAGAAGGTTTTCATTCTCGGTGAGGAAGTTGCACAGTACAACGGAGCGTGAGTAATCCTCGATTTGCAGTTGGATCGAACCCGAAAGCTGAACTTCCGGCCCTACAGATACAAGGTGACGAGGGGTCTGCTCGACCGCTTCGGTCCCAAGCGGGTTATCGATACTCCCATCACAGAGGCTGGCTTCACTGGTATCGCCGTTGGTGCTGCTCTCGCTGGTTTGCACCCCATTGTGAGTATTCAAGGGAGATGACATTTGATCTAAGAGCGCATGCTAACGGTTCATGTTCTAGGCCGAGTTCATGACCTTCAACTTCGCCATGCAGGCTATCGATCAGATTATCAACTCCGCCGCTAAGACTCACTACATGTCCGGTGGTATCCAGCCTTGCAACATCACTTTCCGCGGTCCCAACGGTTTCGCCTCCGGTGTCGGCGCCCAGCACTCCCAGGATTACTCCGCCTGGTACGGCAGCATTCCCGGTTTGAAGGTTGTCTCCCCCTGGAGCTCCGAGGATGCCAAGGGTCTGCTGAAGGCTGCTATCCGTGACCCCAACCCCGTTGTTGTTCTCGAGAACGAGTAAGATCCCATTCCTTCATTTTGCTGGATTTCGCGTGAACTAACCAATGCTAGGCTCATGTACGGCCAGGCTTTCCCTATGAGCGAGGCTGCCCAGAAGAACGACTTCGTCCTGCCCATCGGCAAGGCCAAGATCGAGCGCCCCGGAAAGGACCTCACCATCGTCTCCGTCTCTCGCTGCGTCGGTCAGTCCTTGACCGCCGCCGCTGAGCTCAAGCAGAAGTACGGTGTCGATGCTGAGGTTATCAACCTGCGCTCCATTAAGCCTCTCGATGTTGAGACCATCATTGCCTCCCTCAAGAAGACCGGCCGCATTATGGTCGTTGAGTCTGGCTACCCCATGTTCGGTCTTTCGTCCGAGATCCTGGCTCTGGCCATGGAGTACGGCTTCGACTACCTGACTGCCCCTGCCGTCCGTGTCACCGGTGCTGAGGTTCCTACTCCTTACGCCGCTGGCCTTGAGGCCATGGCCTTCCCCCAGGAGGACACCATTGTCAGCCAGGCCGCCAAGCTTCTGCGCTTGTAAGCCAATAAATGAGGGCGAGTGAAGAGCTCGCAATAATATAGCAATGTGCCTAGTACCCTTTCACCTGTTCCATCTTATGTCGTTGTTTTATTCTGCTTTTGTTATCCAACCGGTTTAGACAGTCTCTTGGAAAGCATGTACCATTACTCCAGATCAGTACCAGCGTAAATGTGCTTAAACGGATTAGATGGAAATTGATTGCTGCCGAGTCAATTTTTGAAGAAAAGGATAATCCATAACATTGAACGCCATTATGTACATATTCGATACTTGATATTTGATTCGGTTCGCGAGTCATTCCAGGCATCACGATATCCATCAAACCTTTTGAGCAGCACACCCAGCGAAACAGTCAGTTGGCCGGTGAGGATCATAATGTCCTTCTGGGCCATATTCCTCGTCGGTTTCACTTTCCATATCACCAGATTCAGTCTTTAGGGGCCTTCCCACATCTGGTGGAGCGTTGTTTTGAGGTTTCGGAATATCATCTTCCTCGTCATCTCCTAGGACGTTCTTCTTGACTGGGGCTGTAGGGACCACTGTTCCCTTGACAGCGGCGAATGAGCTTTTGAAACCTCCCTTCTTGAAACCCGTACCTCCTCCACTTGGTACCACATTGTGTGCAGGAGTCTCGATGACTTTCAGACCGGCCTGCGCATCGGCCTTACGTTCTGCGCGGCGGTTCTTCTCGATGGCATTTGGATCACGGGTTAACTGTTTGAGATCCTGCAAGCGCTTTCTGTGTTGGTGGTCATATGAGCCGATATGCGCTTCGTACTCCGGATGACGTGAGTACGATTTATTGCAGAGAGTGCAGGTGAAGGAGCTGAGCGCAGACCGCGCTGATTCAGTCTATAAGGGTTAGCTTGGCGGTGACAGACATGGCAGATGTGGATGATTGATTACCCTAGGAGCGGGATTTGTAAAACCACGCTATATCTGTTAGCTGATGTGTCAGATCTGGACCAAAAAAAAGAGCATACCGGTGCCATTGTTCTTGGACAAGAGTACAGCGTGAGTTTAGAGAGAGAGCGTTTAGTACGGCGACGCATTGCGACCATCTGTGTATTAATAGCCAGACCACAGCTAGCGGTGGACCCCCTGGAAGACCTGAGGGTGAACCCATGCCTTAGGCATTAATTTCATGGTGTTCTGTATTGTCATATTAGTATCATTGTATTTATGAGTATTATGTCATCCGTATGGTAAGGTAGACAGGGATACATTCTGAGGGGTTTACTAGTAAATTACTAGTAAGGAATCAAGGGTTATACATTCCGAGGGATTTACTAGTAATTTACTAGTAAGGAATCAAGGGTTTACATTCTGAGGGATTTACTAGTAAATTACTAGTAAGGAATCAAGGGTTAGAAATAATGCTATACTTCATGTATATATATATATATATATTAATTCTGTACACACTATTTTTTTAAACTATTGTCTAAATCTTCATGATGACAGAATACGAATCAACTTGGTTTAAATTCCGCAATTCTAAGCTTCAAGAGCTTATGGATATTGAACCTCACGCTACCGATCCTCCTACTACAGAGCAGGACATGATGGAAAACAGAGATGAAGATGAGAGGATATTGAACGAGTTACACGAATTTCAGGTATATTATAAAGGTTTACTAGTAATTTACTAGTAATTTACTAATATTATTTTCTAGATTTACGAAGGAGACAATCGGACACAGACGCCGTTAACAAGCGGTACCTATAATCCGATCTCTGCTTCGGAAATTGAATATGTGCCTATGCTTCCAGAGTATCCACAAACCGACCCAAAAGGATATGCCTATGTTGTGAACCTTCAGGGTTTATGTATAGAGGAGAAAGAGGAGGCAATGCAGCATGTAAGTAAGCTTTTACTAGTTAATTACTAGTATCTTACTAGTAGTCACTAACGTTTTTAGGTTCAATATTCGCATAAACGGGATGGCCAGAATCGTGATACCTGGTGTACCTTTCTCCAATGCGATGTGACTAAAATTTCCTCAAATTGCCAAGGGATTAAGCATTGTGCTTACCTTAGTGATTCAATCCGCAATCTATACCATACAAAGGTTGATCAAGAGTTAATAAATAAACTCCTTACAGCAAAAAAGGATACTCAGGGAGGAAGAGTACTAACGAATAAACAACGGATGGCAGTCGCGTGAGTATTTATACTAGTATTATACTAGTAGATTTTATACTAATAATACTCTAGATTTTACGACACTATCCAAAGAGGCTTCCAAAATCAAACGGCCTGTGGAAAGTCAGATGAAACCTGTGATTTCCAACTCGAAAAACATCGTCATCTAGTAAGTGATTAACTAGTAACTTACTAGTAACCTACTAATATATTTCTTCTAGGATATTACAGGATCTACTATCTCGCATATACAATGTCGAAATTGGACAGAAGATCAACGTGGAGACCATTTCTATAAAAGCCTACAATGGCAACGGTCAAATCTTGATTTAGATCTTCTCATAGATCTCCTTGAAAAACGTAAATTCCCTGATACCCAAGAGCACTGTGATACATTTCATAGTCATCGATCGCGAGCGCTAAAATGTGGTACGTGTTTCCTTTACTAGTTGATTACTAGTAACTTACTAGTAAAGGCACTATCCACCCATCCGGTCGTGGTGATTTAATCAAGAGCTCGCCGAAGTGCCAGGTCCAATTCCGGGCTTTTATACCTAAAGATCCTATAAAGCATCCCTATGCAATTTGGGTCTCTCGGGGCGTTCATAACCATCCACCACCACCTCCTAGCAAGCCTCCGTTCGAACTAATTAAAGGAATTTCAAACCTTCTTGCTAGGATGCGAAGCCCTGATCTTTCACTAAGTATTTTACTAGTAGTCTACTACTAAAATACTAGTAACTAACTTATTTAGGTTTTTTCCTTCGAAGCTTTGAGCTCCGTGCATTCTGCGCAAAATATGGCAGTCTTACAATCAGTCAACTCCATCATAGTTTTGCGAATAGAGAGATTTTCACTACGATCTTACAAAAGCAACGAGCCCTCTATTACCCCCTTGGGAGAGAAATGGGGGGAATTTATCATCTTTTAGCGAAGGATCCACATACAAAGGTACGTTTTACTAGTAAACTACTAGTATCTTACTAATATCTTTAAAGGAGTATATTCGCGAGATCATTGATAACGAGAGAGGGACCTTTATCTTTTGTGCACTTGATGAACAATTACAATTATTAGCTTCCCTTGATTCATGGGAGGTTGATATGTCGTATAAACGGGTTCAAGGGATATTTAACGAGGTGATTTTTGCTACATTTCTACCTGACCACGGGAAAAGTAAGTTTATTTACTAGTAATCTCTCTGCCTTTACTAGTACTAACTATCTAATTTACTAGTTATAACCCTCCTTCGTGTATTTACTACCGAAGAGACCACTTCAGGGTATACTACTATATTCGCAGCTGCGTTTAATTTGATTACCCGTGTTACTGGTGTTCCAGTGAAGTTCCATTATTTACATGGTAGTGGGATCAAGTCTATTGTTGTTGATATGTGCCCAAAGCAAATGACAGGTACGTACCTCCTTATTTTACTAGTATCTTACTAGTTACTTACTAGTATAAGGTCTTGGCAAAGTTCTAAATGAAACTCAACGTCAAATCGATGGTCGACTTCTTGGTTGGAGATGGCATGCAAGGCATATTCTTATGTTTTGTAAGATCCATTTCTTACGCACGGTAAATAAATTAATACCAGAGCGTGCAGATAATTCGCATCATGAAGCGCGAGCGCGTCTTATCGCTTTAATGGAGTGTGGGAGTAGGGATGACTACTATACCCTAGGCGATTTGATCTCAGGTAAGTAAATCTACTAGTTCTTTACTAGTAACCTACTAATAAAGACTTAAGAACACTCCCCAGAGCTCGCTGGATGGGTCCGGCATAAGCAAATTGATGTGATCGCAGGTGGTATATGTGGGAGTCTTTCTTTAATAGACCCGAGGTTCTATAAAGAAACACGAAGCCATACGAATGCAGTGGAGCAAAGCCACTATAAAGCCTACCGGATGGGTACTCGAGATTCACTCCTATGTGCAGTGTTAAAGTACGTTTACTACTATTTTACTAGTGAAATACTAGTACTAATTAACCCTAGGTCTCGAGTCCTCGATCAAACTGACGTTTCACAACACTTTGCACGTACTACCTTTGGTATAAGGCATTCCTACCATGCTGATGATATGGTAACAAGGTTTAGTAATAGTCTCCGGCGTGAAGGTACGTTTTCTACTAGTAGCTTACTAGTATATTACTAATAAAAATAGAGGCAAAACGACGGAATCGCTACCGTCCTAACAATGATGAGATATCAGATGAGGATCAAGAGCTTTATGGGTATAACTCGTCAGGGTATAGCCATACAATTCAAAGGGCTAGGAGTCGGACTAAGTCACCAAGGAAGTCCCCTCGCAAATCACCTACGAAGCCACTTAACAAAGCTCAAGTTATAGTGTCACCATCACTAAGGTTTGTCTGCTTTATTAGTATTTTACTAGTAACTAACTAGTATAGAATGCCTTCACGACTCCCAATAATCTCAGAAGTTATCAATCTTGACACACCACCGACCGTTATACTAAGCACACCATGCCCACCACGTCGAGGCCGCTTAAGAAGTACTAGCGTCCAACATCGTCCAGCCACACGTTCCACGTAAGTTTAACCCTTTTACTAGTAATTTACTAGTAACTTATATTTCTAGAACCTCTTCAAATTCTCTCCACCAAGATAAGATCGAAGAGACACGTAGGATGATTCAAAAGCTTCAAGAACAGCTTACAGAGCAAGAAAATAAGCTACTTAATATTAAATAGAAATTAAGGGATTAAATTACTAGTTACCTCCTACTAGTACTACCACTTATTCTTAAAAGAATACTAGTAAAATAAAATAATCTACTAGTAACTTCTGTATAGATAGATATCCTTTTTAAATTTCAAGTTCAGCTAAAAAAATGTCATAGAACCGCCACTTATGTTCAAAAGAAATACTAGTAAAGTACTAGTAATTTACTCTTCTCCATCATTCTCCTCCTCTGGCGGGTCACTAACCTCACTTTGATCATCGGAATCGAAGTACTCAAAGTTATCGCATCGAGTCGCATTTTCCAGACGACAGCAGCCTATTTACTAGTTAATCATATAAAAATACTAGTATAAATGCGGGCACTCTTACCAGCTCGGTCATTCGCATCTTTACAAGGCTCGCATGGAACCTGACCGTGAAGCGCTTTAACTTGCTTCCTCATCTCAGTAAGGTGAATCTATATTGATTAGTTTTTACTAGTAAATAACTAGTAGAATCTCCACTTACAGAACCATCCTTCTTACGGGGAATAGTAGGTTTATTCAGGGCGGCGGCCTCTGCCGCGGCAGCAATCCGGGCATCATAGGCATCACGTAAAGCGGTATAAAATCCTAATTTTATTAGTAAATTACTAGTAAGCTACTAGTAAAACTCTTCACTTTACACTTACCGATTGCCGCAGTTTCTTCCACAGTTGTAGGTCGACCTTCCGCAGCATTCAGAATCAACTCAGGGTGCTTCGAAGCGTAATGTTTCCGCAGGTTATTAGTGGACGTTGCCGGTGTCTAAAAACAGCGTTAGATAATTAATTTACTAGTATTATATGGTATAATACTAGTAAATTAATAAAGAACTGAAGGAATGTTGAAGGAATCTTAAAAGAATGTGACATACGTCTTTTCCACAGTTAAGAGCACGGCAAAAACGTTCGCCTAGGTAAAGAGGGGTGTAACCACGGGTCTAAGCCATAAGTCAGTCCCAATTTACTAGTAAAATACTAGTAAAACACTTAAGACTTCACTCACATCAGGCACTGGGAGGGCAGGGAGATTCAGGCCTTCAGCAGACCGCTGGGTGATATACCACTGATACGAGCTCTGTATTTATTAGTTTATCGTGTCATATGCGCATGAATTAAACTCACATGTTGACTGTACCGCACCATATTGATCGTATGTGATGCGGGTAGATGTAATGTGGGTAGATGTAATGTAAGAGATGAAAATGCGTGAATCCGTCATATGTATGGTAAAGTAAACAAAGAACTGACATTGCTGCCTAAGGCAGGGTAATGTAATGTAAACAAAGAACTGACATTGCTGCCTAAGGCATGGGTTCACCCTCAGGTCTTCCAGGGGGTCCACCGCCAGCTGTAGTCACATTAATAGCGGGTCTGACGTGTTGCTGCCTGTGAAATAAGGCATATATGTAGCTTCTTAATTGTCTATGTAGGCTTTTACGCTCGTCCTCTGTTCTTAGTCATTAGCCAGCTAATGTATCCTAGGAAAATGGGTAAGACTTGCACTTATATGCAATATTAAACTCTTTATAGTCAAGTCGAATTATGGCAACATTCGATATACTGAGTCACCTGACCCTGCCATGCCAAGTGGAGCAATCGTCATTATCCGTAGAGGAACCGGCCTATCACAACTACCGTATTATTGCGACTCATCCTCAACCCTAACATTTCCCTGCTTTTTTCCATTTCGCCTACACAGTATGGATGCATGATTGACGAGTTACTTTCTTACGAATTTTGTTTTTGCCCTTCCCCCCAGCTTGGGAAACCCTAGAACCCCGAACACCCTACCCCGAAAACGATACAATGTCGTCGCACGTGCACTCCAAACCGGAGGACATCGACACCAGATCTATCATCTCCTTGCAAGAACTAGACCCATCGCCTGTCCATGATGGCCCGGATGTGGAAAGTGACGAATACTTCCCTAGGGCTGCCTCTCCCACGCAACATGGAACTGGAATTTCAATCCCGAAACTAGGGCTTAGTGGGCATCGCTGGGATTCATGGCGTACGTCAAGCGGCAAAAGCTGGTTTATATATTCTAACCACAATGATTATTTAGTAAATGGTATTCAAAAATACTCCACCTACCCACCTACGGCTTTCTTCATCCTACATCTCGCCAACACCTCTCTGATCCCGCTCGTGACTCGCTCCGTACCCGCGAGCGAATCCTACCTCCTGCTCACACGACCCGTATACCAGGCTCCAGGACTAGAGCATCTTGTCCTGACAATTCCTATAATTGCGCATGTTGCCTCGGGAATTGCCCTCCGCAACATTCGTGCTGCGCGTAGAGCACGCCTGTACGGCGCCGAGACTCGCGCACAGCGAAACGCGTTATATTTCTGGCCAAGGATGTCTTTGCAGGCGCGCACTGGATACTTTGTCGCACCGCTAATTGCATTCCACGTATGGGTCAACCGCGCCACGCCATTGATCGTCGAAGGAGGAAGCTCTGGGGTAGGACTTGGGTATATTGCCCATGGCTTTGCTCGGAGTCCTGTGTTCTGGAATGTCTTCTATTTCTTCTTTGTGACTGCCAGTGTGTGGCACTTCGTTGGTGGCTGGGCGACCTGGATGGGCTGGAGAGTAACCAGTGCGCGCAAGGAGCGTGGCCAAAAAGGCTCGTTGGATGGTATTCTTGGATTTACGGAAACAAAGTCCAAGAGGCAGCGCAAGATGTGGTGGACTGTCAATGGAATTGCCGCCGCTGGCGCGGCTCTCTGGCTTGCAGGTGCTCTTGGTGTTGTTGGACGTGCCGGTGAAGGTGCTGGTTGGGAAGCCAAGGGATGGAACGAAATGTATAGTCAGGTCCCAATCATTGGGAAGTGGCTGTGACAGCTTTGCATGACCGTACATATTATCTAGACTTAATCCTAATGTATAAAAAGAGCCTGAAGATAGTAAAAATCATTCATTCTACATATAACTATATATAATTATTAACATTTGAAGACTCGTCTGATCTCACCACGACAATTGCCTATGGCCTACTAGGGACAATCAGAGCTTCTCTCGTGAGATTCGGCTTTACAATCCTATGTACATGCGCTTTTAAAGAGTATAAATTACAAAACAGGTATTGTTCTGTACCGAATCATGGTCCGTGCGTAGAATCTTTTTCTCCGTCGCATTCAACATCTCTTGTGATATGCTGTGAAAGGCTCCGCTCATGAACCCTTCGTTGATTTTTGGAGCAGCAACGAAATGCGCTAGGCGAAGACTCATTCCTATCTTTATTCCCGCCCAATTCCCTCGCTCGATCCCCACTTCGATCCGATCTCGTGTCCGAATCCTTTCCACTTATAGAACCATGGAGGAACCTCAGATCCAGCTGGTGGAATACCAGGGAGAGAATTACCATGTTGTCAAGGAAGGGTTGGCGAAGATTCTCAACCCGCCTGCCCAAGAGGCCGCTTCCAAGGGAACGAAGAAGGATCTCAAAACCGACGACCAAGTGCAATCCGTCTTCTACAACCCAATTCAACAATTCAATCGCGACCTCAGCGTGCTAGCCATTCGCGCTCATGGAGAACATATCATTGACCTGAAGAAAAAAAAAGCGGCCCAGAAGCTGAAGAAGCAGGCAGGCAATGGGGAAAAGAAACGGAAGCGCGAAGACGACCAGACCGAGAACCCGAGACCCGCCCCAAATGCAGAACACAAGGAAAACACAGAGACAAACGACCAGCCTGTTTCCGCTCCCCCGGCTGACCAAGAGCCTAAGTCAGAAGCCCGACCCGAGCAACCCACGGGTTCGTTCACCGTTCTTGATGCTCTGTCTGCAACTGGACTGCGCGCTCTTCGCTATGCCTCTGAGCTTCCATTTGTCACAAAGGTCGTGGCTAATGACCTGTCAAAGTCTGCAATCAATTCCATGAAGAAAAACATCGAATACAACAATCTTACGTCGATCCAACCCAATCTAGCCGATGCTCGAGTTTACATGTATGGGCTTGACAATGCGAGCAAGTTCGACGTCATTGATTTGGATCCATATGGCACAGCGGCTCCATTCATCGATGCCGCAGTGCAGGCAGCCAAAGACGGTGGCCTTTTGTGTGTTACTTGCACCGATGCCGGTGTCTGGGCCTCGACCGGCTATTCGGAAAAAGCATTCTCTCTGTACGGCGGTATCCCCATGAAAGGCCTCCACTCCCACGAAGGTGGTCTGCGATTGATCTTGAATTCACTTGCCATGTCCGCAGCTAAGTATGGAGTGGCCATCGAGCCATTATTGTCTCTATCTATTGACTTTTACGCTCGCGTCTTTATTCGGGTCTATCATTCTCCCGCACAGGTCAAATTTACCGCAGGCAACACGATGCTTGTGTACAATTGCGATTCCGGCTGTGGCGCATGGACAACACAACCTATCGGTTCTACCAAATCTAAACTGGACCGCAAGGGAAACCCCATATACCACCACGGCCTGACTAAAGGGCCAACAGCCGGACCGCACTGCGAGCATTGCGGTACAAAAACACATCTTGCAGGGCCTATGTGGGGAGGTCCGCTACACAATCCTCAATTTATCCAGAAAATCTTGGATATGCTTCCTGGAGCTGATCCCGAAACATATCAAACCTGTTCTCGCATTGAGGGAATGTTGACCACTGCTCTTGAAGAGGATCTTGACCTATCACCATCTAAACCTGAGCCATCTACCCCCAAGCAACCCGCAACAAGCACAAAGAACCAATATGATCCTGCATACCCTGCCATTATTCCTCGAATGGACGTTGCCGCTCGGGAAAAATACCCTTTCTTCCTCTCAATCAGTGCTCTCGCCAAGGTTATCCACACAACCACCCCTCCTATCGACGAGTTCCGCGGTGCTCTCAGCCATCTCGGATACCGCTCCACTCGTAGCCACGCCAAGCCAAACTCAGTGCGCACCGATGCGCCCTGGGAGGTTGTTTGGGAGATCATGCGCGAGTGGGCCCGTCAAAAATCACCCATCAAGGAAACTTCCTTGAAGCCCAAAACCGCCGGTGCTGAGATTATGGCCAAGAGCCGTGAAAACCTGCGTAAAGTGGACGATGAAGATCAATGGTTATCGCTTCTCAAAAAGGATCTGATGTCCGCCGTTGAAACTGGCAAAGATGTCAGTGACTTGGTCACCAAGGTCGAAGCTGCGCTTTACCGGTCCGGTCCGCGAAATTCCGGACAAACTGCTCCTACTTCTGAAGCGACTCGCCCTAATGCCGATGCCGCTACTGATCCCCAGCCTGAAACGGACAAAGCACCTGCACACCCCTTCAAAAGGCCTCATCCTAGTACCCTTGAGGTGGTCTTTGATGAGGCTCTAGGCCGTCAGGTTTCTGCTGCGCATACCAAGAAACGACTGGTGCGGTACCAGCTCAATCCTCGTGCTAATTGGGGTCCTCTCAACCGTGCGGCGCGACGATGATGTTCAAATATCCCTGTTTATACATAGAAAAGTCCTCTGTACGTTTTCTGCCTTGGTTTAATGCTTGTCACCATCTTCGTATATTGTACATACATAGTAAAGTGATAAGCGCAGCATGTTCACTTTGTGCTATTATTCCTATTCCTAGCTGTATTTCTATAGCTATTAATAAATTTTTCACCTATAAAACCATGGAAAAAAAATATATATATCTCTCTAAAACGAAATATCTAGAATTGCAAAAGAACATACAAAAAAGACATTTGGTATATCTAATGTCCCTAATATCTATCATTGTGACATGGGGAAGCAGATAAATGAAGTGTTACATCTTCAAGGACAGCATTTTATAATTAGATACGATGTGATACCAAAATGAATAGTGCTAAAACCGAATAAATTCCAAAGTATAGCAGTATTATTCCCTACAAGGCATAAAAATGGAAGATAAGAAACTAATATTAAAATGCGAACTGAAACTCATATACATGCACATGAAAAACTCCAAAGCTCTGAGACATATCACGTAATGACCCATGGAACGAAAAATGGTCTATCAAAAACACAACATTATAAAGAGGATATCAACAGAAATAGATCGATTATTTTGCAACATTTTCGTTGCCCTCTTCGTACTTCTCCCAGTTGGCCAAGATAGAGGCAATGCGGGGGGAGTTGGTCAGTCGGTAGACGTCCTCGAAGTATTCCTTGGTGATCTCGAAGG